CCAGGGCACAGCTCAGAGGGGCAGGCACACTCCCACCGTCACCAGGGCAGAGAATGTGCCCGGGAGTGCGCCACTGAGCCTGTCCAGAAACGAACGGGCGCTGGGGAAAGGAGTGCTGGCATCCAGCCACCTACCCCAGAGAAGCCGCCCGCCTGCTGGCAGAGCCACGGGACACGGACCCGCCTGCGTCCCCGTCCGCCAGGTGCTGTTCTCCACCCTGGCCCCCAGGGGGAGGGCTGCCCCGGAAGAAACCCCAGTGCAGGCGGCGCAGACCCGAAGGGAAGCGCGCCGAGGGGGACCCCAGGCGGTCTAGGGGCCCGCCCGCTACTGCCCAGCGCTTCCACGCCCCGCCCCACATGAGGCTCGCCACACCCTGATCCTGAGGTGCGGCGCTTTCGCCCGCGGACACTGGGCCGGGGAGTCAGGGGGCTCAGCAGCAGCCGGCAGGGCACCCAGCGGAGTCAAAGCCGAGCCTCTGCCCCTCCCTTTGGGCTGAAGAAGAGACCGAGACCCCGAGACGGGAAGTGAATCACGCGCCGGGCGCAGGTGTCAGACGGCTTCTGCGCATCTTGTTTTGCCCGCAGGCCGCCCCTCCCTGAAAAGTTGCTAAAGTTCAAGACGTCGGGGCCTCCGGGAGGAGTCTGAGGATGTAAGAGTGTTTTTAAAACGTGCTCCATTTTCATTTCCCAAACTGACACACTGGATTCGGAAGAGGGAAAAACACCCACTCTTACCATAACTGGACTTCTTTCTGAAACTAACTCATCAAGAGGTTTTTTTTTTGTTGTTGTTTTGTTTTTAAAGGAACTGAAATGTTGGAAACAGCCCAAAAGGGAAATGAATGCCAGACTTTCACATTGTGAACTAAAGTAAAATTTTAAGGCTCACCGCCCCCCACCCCCACTGGCTTACTAAAGAGACCCCTCGTGGCCAAAGAAATATCCTGAAACTAAATTGTCTACCAAGAGGAAGGAGGTCAGACGCGCCTTGTGCCCCCTCCCTTCTAGGGGACATCCTTTGTAACCCATTAATAGGCCTAAGGGTATGCAAGACAAACCTGCAGGTCCTCAATTTACACAACAAATGTATGTTGGGTGGTTTATGTCTGATAGCAGTTTCTTATGTTGAAACATTCCAAGCCTTTAGACAAAGCTTCTTGTTTTTAACCAATTACAAGCCAAAGAATCTTTAAACCCACCTTTAACTTGTAAGCCCCAGGTGGCCCACCTTTTTGGGCCAAACCAATGTGTATGCCCTGTCTCCCTGAAATGTATAAAACCAAACTGTAACCCAGTCACATCGAGTACACTTGCTTAAGGCCTCTTGGGAGTGGCTCTGTGTCATGGTCCTCAAATTTGGCCCAGAATAAATCTGTTTAAAATTATTTTACACAGTTTGGCTTTTTTCCGTTGACAACATCCATCTCGTCTGAACTCCCAAGCTCCGGGAAGAAAGGCGAGGCAGCTGGAGCCAGTGCAGCTCCTCAAGCCCCAGTCCCACGAGCAGGTGCGTTTCGGAATGCAGATTGGCTGGGATTTTAGAAAGAGAACCCGAGAGCACACACCTGCCAGAGGTTACATAACCTCCCGCAAGGGCTCGATCTGCACCCTGCGATCAAGCTTATTTGCATTTCTGCAGCAAAATATGAATATTCACACCAAGTGTGACAAATAAAGACCATCAACATCCTCATATCGGTTCCCGTGAAATTTTTTCACGGGTGAATTACAAAAGATCTTTGGGCTCCCGGGGAGCTTTGGCACTTGGGAATTGCAGATAAGGGATTGTGAGCCAGTACCACTCTCGTTTTGGGTTTGGGGAAAGTGAGCTCGTCGAAGTGGCGGACACAGTGGAGGGCGTCGAGCGGGACGCAAAGCCGAGCAGGTCTCCTCGCCCCCGGCTCAGTGCAGGCGCAGCCACCCGCCCGTCCCCCACGCCCAGCTGCGTACCTGCTCCGGGTTCTCCTCCCGCCGCTGGCCGCGCAAGTCCAGGATGGCCTTGTAGTCAGTCATTCTCCGAGTCGCTGCGTGCCAGGGGCCGCGGGCACACCCAGGAGCCCGCCACGCTGCAGGCCTTGAAGCGGCCCGTGCTCCCGAGGAGGCCGGCAGGAGGCATGGCGGTGGCACGTGCCAGGTCGTCCAGGGACTGCACTGGCCGCACGGGTGCCAACGGCCGCACATACAGGCAGTCAGGCAGGCCGGGCGCCAGCCCACCTGCGGGGGCGTCGCGCCACTGCACTGCGCGGGGCCGCACAGGGAGCTGGCACCGCCCCGGGGCTCGGCGGGGGCGCCGTTGGGGCCCGCACGCGAGCGGGCTCATAAACCGGTAGTCGGTAGTTGTAGGCAAGAAGTTCTGGAGCGATGGGGAGGTGACTGGCCGAGTGCTGGCAGCTCGCGCACGTACTATGCTGGCAGGTAGAAGGGGCGGCCGCCGGGCTCGCGCCGCACGTGCCACCAGTGCTCGGTGCTGCGGCGCAGCAGCCGGTGGCGCTCGTTGGGCTGGATGGCTACGCGGCGTCTGTCCTTGCCGGTGTACTCGAAGGGGTGCTCCACCAGCACGTACACGTCCCCCTCGACGTCCGCCGCCATCGCGGCCGCGGCGTTTTCCTGCAGGCAACGAGGAGGCCGCGAAGGTCAGGGCCGCGGAGCCGAGAAGAGCCCCGCCCTGGGGACCGAAGGCCTGGGTTGGAATCCCATCCCGCACTCGCCCCGCGCCTGAGGCCCTGCTTTCCAGTCTCCAAAATGCGGACTTGCATAAAATCGTCTCTAAGGCTCCCACTCTTACACTCAGTGATGGAATTAGGACAATCCGTTCACTGGGGGAGTTGATTGTAGGATTTGAGCCTTGCTTCAGTTCCGTCGTGGGGAGACTGTGGGTAATGCACGTCCAACTTTACTGCCAGGGAAGCCTTGGCTCTAAGACGAAGGGTGATTGCCGGCGACAACGTCGACACCACATTTACCCCAAAGTTAACCGAGCCTCAGCTTTCCCGTCAGTAAAGTGGGAAGAACAGCCCATTTCCCGCCGCTCCCTGCCCCTGTCCCCCCCTGACACCTCCAGCCCGCGAGGACTCCGCGAGAGGCAGCGCCCCGTCCCTCTATCAGTCTGCGCCCTGGGCCCGCGGGGTCAGGGTTGCGGTGCGGGTTCTGGGGGTGGCCCCCGAGCAGCTCTACCCTGGGGGTGTCTCTGCCTTGCTTAGGCAGTGGGCCACCAAGGGACTTGGCGTAGTAGACCCGACTGCCAAGGCAGGGGAACCGGTTCTCTCGGTTTCTCTTTCCTTCCCCAGCGGCTTCCCCGCAGAAGTGAACCCAGAGCCCAGCCCGCCCAGACCGTCCCACGCCGCCTCCCGGGAGAGGCTTGGCCCTCGCGGCCTGCCCACCTGTCCCGCGATCCTCCACTGCCCCAAGAGAGTGGCCCCTAGAGGATGCACTTGGTGACGGTGGCTACCCGTGTAGGGTGCCCAGGGCCCCCAAGGCTTTCTGGAGTGGTCACCACAAGCGCCCTTGGCCCCATGCCTGCTCAGCCTGGCTCCCTGCGTGTCGCGAAGGGGGCAGAGCCTAACTGTAACTCTACCTGCGTCCCTCCATCAAAGCCCTCAGTGGCCTCCTGCGGAAGTGTCTGGTCCCTCCAAACCCGTACACTGACCACACCTCCTGCCCCACCAAGGTGTCCCGGGACCAGGCGCCGGGAGCGCTGGGGCACCGCAGGAGCAGTGTCCGATGGGGGCCCCTAGCGCTCCTCTACTTTCTGTGGCGTTCCTCAATGGAGGAACGGGTGTAAACTGAGTCACTGGGCACTCTGGGCCCTGGAGGCGGGGTCAGTGAGCTGCCCAGAGCTGAGCCAACAAGCCACAGGGAGGAGGACACGCCCCTCGCGGCCCCTTCCCTGGCCCCCAGCTGCGCACTCAGGTCGGCTGGGCGGGCGTCCGGGAGCCCATGGGCTGGGTGGGCGGAGCCAGCGGCTGGCGGCAGGTTAGGCCCCCACCATGTCCCTGGGCGGGGCTTCCAGGGGCCCGGCCCCGAGACTGCGCGCGGAACTGGAGCTGGGAAAGGAGAAGAGGGAGGGGAACGCTCAGGAGGACTGTCCCCAATCCCCAAAGCACCCATGTCTGGGAGGGGCGAGGAGGAGCCTGCCAGCCTCTGCCAGGGCCCTTGGGGGGCTTTGGGGCGGGCCCCGGACTTGGAGGAGGCGCTGGAGAGGGGCCGGAGCCAGGAGGGGTGCATCTGAAGTGGCGCTGGCAGGTCGCTAGCCGAGCCTAGGGAGGGGAGGGTCCCGCCCCTGCCCCGCCTCCCTCCCCCGCCCGCTGCGGGACTTGCTGTTCCCGAGCCCCTGCGTCCTGTGGGCGCGCGGCTCTGGGGATGCCGGCTGGGGCTGCATGTCCCGTCCGGGCGTTCCTTTTCCGAGCGAGGCCATTTGCACCCGGAACCACCAAGTACCAGCCCTTTCCAGCCGCACTGGGGCCCTACCCGCGCCGGGCCCACCCCCGCCTCCCCAGGGCCTTTCCAGGGTTCCCACGGCAGGGACGCCCACCGGAGCGCAGTGTCTCGGGCTGAGTGGGAAGGGGACCGGGCCTCAGCTCCTTCCCCGACCTTGGGGGAGCGAAGAGAAGAGGGTCAGATGGGGGAGCGGGGAGGATCCCTGGAGCGCAAGAACGCCCCCGTCGCCAGGAGGTCCCCTGCGTCCACTGCCCCGAGACTCGAGCTACAGCGGCTTCAACGCCTGGGTCGGCCCTGGGGGCCTGGGCCTGTCCCCTCCCGCCCTGGGACTTGAGGACCGCCCTTCGCCCACCTTCTCCTCCCCAGGAGGACGCGGCCCTCGCAGCTCCCGCGCCAGCGCACAGCGAAGGGGAACAGGCGCGCGGAGCTCCGGGGTGAGGACCTGCGCCTGCGGCGCCCTTCCCACCCCCACTCCCTCAGCGCCCCCCGCCCGGCCCCGCCGGCACCTCCGGGCGTCCGCTCGCTGGCCTCGCCTCCACTTGCCCCGGCAGGCGCGCGCGGGCTCGGCGTCTGGCGCGCCCTCCTCGACCGCCCGGCTCCCGCGCTGCTGTTTCCTGTTCAACAATATGACCAGGGAGGCACCGGCGGAGAGCGCCCGGCAGAACTTCCTCCGGGGCTGTGGTTGCCAGAGACAATCCCCAGTGTCCTGGCTTCCTGTCCCCTCTGGGCCAGGCCAGCGCCCCAGGAGCAGAGATGCCACCCCATTCCCCCTGCACCTCCCAGATCCAGGGCCACACCTGGCTGTTTCCAGGGAGGAGGAGGAGGCAGCAGGGCTGAGATGGTGGGATGAGGGTGGCGGGAGCCTCCCCACTAGCTTCTCCTGGCCAGATTGCCCTCTCACTGCCCTCCCCGATTGTCCCCCTACCTCTAGGAGAGGAGGGCCACCCTCCAATCTGTCCGCAGGGTAAGCTCAGATCAACCTCCTGGAGGCCAGAATCTCAAGTCCAGCCCCAGGTTCCTCCACCCTGGGGGTCTTCTCTTTGGGAGTTATCTGCCTCTCTGGGGAAAGCAGCCTGGCCCCTCTGGGCCCTGCATTCACTCCAGACATCACAAGCCCCGGCCCGGTGGACCCTGCTCTCAGTGACCTCAAGGAACAGTTGTGTCCGCCTAGGTGCTGAGGACGGCCGCTTCAGGCTAGTGTCTGGGAGAAGGACGGAGTCCCCACCCCAGCCCCTGCCTCCCTGGACACCACCTCATGAGGCCTGACTCAGGTTCCAGCCACTTTCTTGAACCCCGGTACCTCTGTATCTTTGCCCCTGCTAGGTGCTGCCCAGCAGTGAGTCTACATTGTGCTGGGTATCTCAGTGTGTCTGAGCCCTGGTGGCATCTTGGGATCCTCCAGGGCAGGGTCCTGCTAGAAGATGGTGGCGGAACCCCCCCACCCCCAACCTACCTCTTAGGTCCCTCCCCACTTGCCCCGAGTTACCCAGCAAGCAAGGCAGGATGGCAGCAGCTGGTAGCAGTTGTGGTCCTGATGCCCGACTCTGCCACTTCCTGGCCTTTAGACCTTGGGAGTTTGGCCTTATTTCTGTGTCTCAGTTTCTTCCTATAGACTGGGGGCAGTAGCACCTACTTCATAGGATTGTTGGGAAGATTAAATGAGATGCACTAGGCACAGTGTCTAACACATGGTATGTGCACACGATGTATTAGTTATTATTGCTACTTTTATTATGAGATGAGCTCTTCAGGATTGGGATTGCTAAACCTCCCATCTTCCTTTAGGCAGAAGGGGAGGAGGAAGAACAAGTGTCCTCAGAAGCACCTTGCAGGGATGGAGGGGCTGAGCCCACAGTGGGGCAGCACCATGTCACATGCCCCTGGCCCTCAACCCCAGTTCCTTTTCTCTTCTCTGGACCTGCCATCTACTGGCCCCAAGGAGGTAAGGCCCTTGGGGGAAGCTGGGGCTCACACATGGACAGAGTGTGCCCCCTTCCCCCAGTGGGCTGAAAGGGTTCTTCAAGGACAGGAAACTGCAGACCTGAATGTTGTCTTTCTGTCCCGTTTCCCTGGAACCTGATTCCCCGTCCATTAGTCTGTTTCCGTCTGTTCTTACAATGGACACTGGTGGCCTCCCCTGGAGGGACCCCTGGGCTTCTCCTGGAACTTCTGAGGAAGGCCACCAGCCCAGCATAGGCCACTCTGAGCCCTAAAAGCACGAGTCCTGAATCCAGGGCCCTGCTCAAATAGCTGCTCCTTCCTAAGCCCCTTCTCTCTCCTGTATCCCTGAGGTTTCACATGATTTGGTGTCAAGGGTCTGTGCTTGGACATGTGAGGGACAGAAAAAGCAGCTGTTGTGGTGGAATCAGCTTCTGTGTCTGTGAGTAAACCTCCCCAATGTCCCTGAAATCCTACCCAGCGGGGGACCCTGACTTCTGGGCGGGGCATATAGACTGACACTGCTGCTTACTTACTGTCCCCTCCCTGCCCACTCCTGGTACACAAGCCCCCTTCTCACAAGTGTTTGCCACGGATGCCTCTAGGCCCTCCCCTGTGACTAAGGAGCGTGAGGGGCCCTATGGGATGCTAAGGGATGGCTGGCGGCCTCCCCCAGGCAGCGTGGTGTAAGGATTCCGAAGCCAGGCCAGTGAGTAGAAAGACCAGGTCTTTACTGCAAAATCATTCAAAAATCACACAACACGGCAGCAATTCCTTCAATACAAAGCACTTCTCAGGGCCATGCCCCCACTGACTAGGAACAGTTTATTGCATAAAATAACATTTTAAAATAGTGTGGGCACTACTGAGGTTCACATCAGCGTTCCACTGTTGGGTAAGAGTCAACTCCTCTGAAAGCACTAGCAGCTTCTCAGTCACAGTCACAGGGTGGGGGCAGCTCTAATGCTAACAATCCTGCGGGTGGGGGAGGCCCCTCCAACCAGGGCCTCACCCCTGCTGCCTCCTAGGGCACCTTCGGGGGCAGGGGGATATCCTCACTGGCCCAACAGGCCCAAGCCCACCAGGGCCAGGCTCCTGGCACTCCGGGACTGGGCAGCGCTGGCTCCGATCAGGCGGTGTTCACGGTGAGCGTCAATGCGGGCTGCGGGGCTGGGGTGAGGATAAGGACGCGCCTGTGGGTTTAGGAGGCTGTGGGTTTGGGCACAGGTGCCACCATCCTCCGTGACAGGGAGGAGGAGCCGTGTGGTGCCTCCACCTGCCTGCCCGCTGCCTCCTCTCTTCTAGTGCGCATTCTTCCAGCTCCTCAGCTGGGCTGGTGACTCAGCAGCAGATCACCCCCAGGGAGGGGTGGGCAGGCTCATTTCTTGACAGTGACAGGCAGACTCCACCTGAGGCCTCCTACTCTAAGCTGGGGACCCCAGGGCTGAGACAAGAGGGCCTGCTGGGTCCAGCGGTGGGCGGGCAGGTGTGAAGCAACAGAGGGAGCACAGGGAGCACACCCGCCCCCCAACCTCAAGGGTCTCAACGTAACTGTGCAAACAATTCTAGGCTCCCACCCCAGCCCCAAGACCCCCATCAAAAGGCAATCCTGCGCCACGGAACTTTCCCCGTGTCCGGCAGCGCCCTGCTGGGGAAGTCCAGCGAAGCTTTGGGAATTGATGGCTTTGTAAGACCGAGGCTGGGGCTGCTTCCTCAGGGTAGCTTCTCTGCCCGTCCCTGCACATCTCAGCAGTGGAAGGACCCGGTCACCTCTCCACAGTGCAGGGCCTGGCAGTCACGGTGCCTGAGGCCAGCCCCTGCCTGGGCTCGCTGCCCTCTCTGGGCTCAGGCGGGCAGGGGTTGTGACTGAGAGCCCACAGCAGGTGGGGCTGTGGCGTTGGTAGCACTGGCCTGCCCGTCTGTGGAGGAGTAAGGAGGGCACAGGGCTGAGGGGCGGGCAAGGTGATGACCTTCCCTGAACTAAGGTAGGTGCAAAGTGCTAACAGTGCTGGTTGAGTCATTTCTCCTTCTCCTGCTGGGACCAAGAGCCCAAGCTAGAGAAGAGCCAGGACTGACACCAAGAAAGGGGACGGGCCCTTCAGGTGAGGAGTGTGGGAGCAGGGAGGAAAGACGACACAGGGAGAGGAAGCAGGGGTCACCGGGCCTGGCCCCACCCTGCCAACGAGCAGTTTGGCACGTGGCAGCAGGGAGGAAAGAAAGGCACCCGGTCCAGCCGCCAGGCCCCGTCTGGCAGTGGCTCACCTGCCCAGCCAGGCCTGAGTGGCTCCTGTGCATCTGCTCAGGGTAAGAATGCCTGGATTTCATGGGTGACTTGTGTAGGGTCAAGAATAAAAAAATATTTTCTGTTGCAATATGAAGGAGAAAAACCCACCTTAAAAAACTAGACCTTTTAATCAAGAACATGTAATTGAAAATGCTTCCAAGTCTCATTTCCACAGTGTTTCCACCTAATGGAGGTGCCATGACGGTGGTGACCAGGGCCTGGTTAGGAACAGGCCCTTGTCTACCCCCAGATAGGACATCGTGTGGCACCCACCCCTCCCGCCCCCAGAGCAGAGGGTAGCAGGGTGGTCCTGGAGCATCATCGGGCATCCTGGGCTTTCTCTGGGAGGCCTGTGCTCTGGTCACATCTGAGGGTCTTCCCGCCAAGGGGACACAGCTGTGACACTGTGAGACTGCGCGGCCCAGGCTGTTGGCACTCACCCCCTGACCTCGAGGGTGGGGTCTGGAGGTGGGGATTAGGTGAGAACGTTCTGTTCCTGGTACTTGCGCCGGCGGGCACAGCGGGGGCAGCCCTTCTTCACCACGGCCTGGCAGCTCTGGTGGAAGACGGTCTTGCACTCGGCACACCTGGGGAGAGAGTGGCACCTGCTGCTTGTGCTGGCTGGGTGCGAGACCAGGGCTGGCCAGTGCTTTTGACCAGAGCCCACGACACGGCTGTGGCTGTGCCACTCCCTCCCTAGCAAGAGTCTTGAAACAATGCTTGCCTGTAAGTCACGCTGATATTCTCTCTCTTATTTCATTTTTTATAAATGCTGCCTGAATGATTTCTTGCCTATGTTTGAAAGACTCTGCAGTTTAAAAAAGTCAGCCCTGGGTCCGCTGAATCATGGCCAGCAGACACCTACTGAAAATGAACTAACGCTCCCAGCATTAGTGGGAACTCCCCTCCCACATGGGTTAGGAAGGTGAACTTTTCCATTTAGAGGCTCCTGATAGTAGCAGTAACAGGGAACAAGAATGATCATGACAGCAGGAGAAGCAGTGGCAGCTACCACCCACCAGGTGTCCACTTTGTGCCAGGCCTTGTGCCAACACTGCAGGGCAGGAACCCATTCAGTCCCTTCTCAAGCCACTCACAGCCTGAGGCCCTGGGAGGGCCCATCTTGTCCTCTGAGCTGGACCAGAGCTGGCAGGACTGTGCAGGCTGCCCTGGACAACCTCCCACCCCTTGGTCCAGGCCCAGAGTAGATGTCCAATGTGTTCCTGTACCTCAGAGCTGGGCTGCCACCCTGGGACGCTCCACCAGGCTGTGGGGGTGGGAGTGGGGCTGCGAGGCGCTGGCTGGTGTCCCACATACCTGGCTGTGGTGTCAGACTCAAAGGGGAAGATGATGTTGTGGTGGTGGCAGATCTGGCAAATGAAGCCACGCTGGGTGCACAGGTCGCAGTGGTAGACGTTCTAGGGGGCAAATTTGATCAGGGCCTTGAGGAATCCTTCATACACCCCCTCTGTGATCTAAGGCGAGCGCAGGCCACCAGGCCTTTCAGCAGCTTTGCTGAGGCTCCCTGGCACCCTGCCTGGAGAACTACCCTCAGTTCCCACATGGGAACTGAGCAAACCTCCCCGAATCAGGCTGAGTGACGTAGGTGTCCGGCCCTTGTGCATGAGGTCACTGGGGGATTATGGGATTTACAGATGAGACTCGAATTCATTGTTCCCTCCCCTGAGGACAGAAGCATTCCCAACTCTCGGCCCTGTGTCCTGGGATTTGCTGGTGTGCCTGTGTCTCCCAGGGGTGGGGGCCTGGGAGCCTGTAGCAGCAAGGCACCCTGTCCAGATGTGCAGAAAAGCTGAAGATTGCTTCTTGCCTTGGTAGACTACAGGCACCCCTGACCCATCTCCCTTTCTGATTTCTCCAGGAATGAGGTCCCTCTGGAAGGGCAGGTGGGAGGGGCAGCATGACAGTCTCACCTGATGGAGGTCAGCGACACTGAACCTGTGGGGAGACTCCAAGAGATAATTCCTGTGGTTAAGCCTTCAAAGAAAACACAAGAGATTGTGTAGAACAGTTTCCAAGACTGTGCCAATCTGTGCTGCTTTTTTTCTTTTTTTTCAGCATATTATGGGGGTATAAATGTTAAGGTTATGTATATTGCCCATGCCCCCCCCCTCCAGCCAGAGCTTTAAGCATGACCATCCCCCAAACGTTGCACATCTCACTCATTATGTTTGTATATATCCACCCCCACCACCCTCCTCCCACCTGCCGGACACCCGATAAACGTATAAGTCCACCCTATAAGTCCACTTAGGTGTTGATCCCTTAATACCAATTTGCTAGTGAGTACATGTGGTGCTTGTTTTTCCATTCTTGAGATACTTCACTTAGTAGAATGGGTTCCAGCTCTATCCAGGAAAATACAAGAGGTGCTATATCACCATTGTTTCTTAAAGCTAAATAGTACTCCATGGTATACATATACCACATTTTACTAATCCACTCATGTATTGATGGGCACCTGGGTTGTTTCTACAACTTTGCAATTGTGAACTATGTTGCTATAAACATTTGAGTGCAGGTGTCCCTTTTGTAGAGTGTCATTTGATCTTTTGGGTAGATGCCCAGTAGTGGAATTGGTGGATCAAATGATAGATCTACTTGTATTGCTTTAAGGTATCTCCATATTGCAGTGCTGTTTGTTTTCTACACCTCCTGCCAGAGTGGGGCAGGGGCTAAGAGCACAAGCCAGCCTGCCTGGACCTGGGACCCAGACTTCAAGGTGACTAACCAGCTTCTGGGACCATGGGCAGGTTACTTAACCTCTCTGAACCTCAGGTTTCCTCCCCTGAAAAATAGAGTTGTTTAGAGGATTAAATGATGTATTTATTTAAAGCATCTGCCACAGTGTCTGGCACACAGTAATCACATAATAATGAGGACAACTATGACAAATGTTAACTCTTATGCCAGGAACTGGGCTAGGAGCTGTACATGTATTCATCCATTCATTTAATCCTCAGATCCTCACAATAAACCATTAGGCTGGAGCTATTATAATCCCATTTTTGAGAAGAGGAAACACAGAGAGGGTAAATAACGTGCCTGGGGCTGGGCACGGTGGCTCAGGCCTGTAATCCTAGCACTCTGGGAGGCCAAGGCGGGCAGATGGCTCCAGGCCAGGAGTTTGAAACCAGCCTGAGCAAGAGCAAGACCCTGTCTCTACTATAAACAGAAAGAAATTAATTGGCCAACTAATATATATATATAGAAAAAATTAGCTGGGCATGGTGGCACATGCCTGTAGTCCCAGCTACTCGGAAGGCTGAGGCAGGAGGATTGCTTGAGCCCAGGAGTTTGAGGTTGCTGTGAGCTAGGCTGATGCCATGACACTCACTCTAGCCTGGGCAATAAAGCGAGACTCTGTCTCAAAAAATAAATAAATAAATAAATAACTTGCCTGGGGTCACACAGCCAGTTAGTGACAGAGCTGGAGTTTGTTTGTTTCTTTCTTTTTTCTATTTTTGGTAGAGACGGGGGTTTCCGCTCATGCTCAGGGTGGTCTCGAACTCCTGAGCTCGAACAATCCACTTGCCTTGGCCTCCCAGAGTGCTAGGATTACAGGTGTGAGCCACCACGCCCAGCCCCCAGAGCTGGAGTTTAAACGCAGACGCCTGCGCCCTTATCCTCCCTGGTGAGGCCTGTAGGTGTCTGCTGCTGTAATTACCATCACATACCAGGCACAGAGCTGGGGGCAGAAATGCACAGAATATGGCTTCTACCCTCCTGTAGCTGCTGGTCTGGCCTCAGGACAGACATTCCTCTCTGGTTTCAGTGCCACATGAGAGGAACGAGATGTGTCCTATGCACAGCAGATCCCATTTTGGAGGTGGGGGTGGGGAGCAGAGGACCAGGGCTCAGCGGCCAGCTCAGCTCTGGTTTCCACCACACCAATGGCAGGATCCTGCCTGTCACATCCTGAGGGACAGAGGAAGCACCTGCTGAAAATCCCCTGGTACAACAGCCTGCCTGGCCTTGCCGTGTGTACGTGGGTGGGGGTAGTGGGGGTGGGTGGAGAACACTGTGTCACACGATGTTTGGGAACCTGCCCCAGGATGCCCTGGATATTGGGGGGCAGGATGGTGCCAGCCTGGGTCCAGGCCCCCAGGGTGCGGGCTGTGTGGCATCTAGAACGGGGGCTCAGCTGCAGTCCCCCTGCTGGCCTCAGCTGTGGTACAGGGGGAGCCCCATCTGGGGTGGCGATGAGTCCCACCAAGCAACCAGGCAGGCCATGGGGTGAGGATACTGCCAACCGGCCACTCAGGTGACCAAGCTTCCAGCTTTCTGAGGACAGGAGGCTGCCATTTACCACCAGGAAAACACAGGGTGTGGGGGGCGGGAAGGACACAGGTGGCCCTGAGCTGGCAGGAGGGTGGGGCTGACTTGGATGGAGAGTTCTGCCATCTGTCCTCTGCCCACAGTTATGGAAGCCCTGGGAGTCCCTGTCCCCTGGGCCTGTCACACTCTCAGCAAGGCCCTGCAACTGGTTTCTCTGCCATGCTCAGTCAGGCCAGAGGGAGAGAGCGCTGGCCCCGGCAAGAGAGGCCACTTCTCCTCCTGCCTCCAGGAAGAGAAACCACGTGCACCAGGGCACACCCCAGGCCTGCTCTGGGCCTCAGATTCTCTAACCACACAATGAAGTGGCACGAGGGTGACTACCAGGGAAGGGACCAGAGGAATCGCTATGGCTCTCTGGGAGAGAGTGCAAGACAGAGGAAAAGGCTGCATCTTAGCTCCTGTAACTAAGGGAGGGGCCCTGGCCACCCCCGGCCACCCTCCCTGGCTGTCAGGAGGAGTACCTGAAGTCTGGTGGGTGGACACCCCTGTGGGGCGTCCTGTGATGGTTCCTTCCCAAAGGCCTGAGAAGACACTCACAGGGGCTTCTCTGGCCCTTGGAGACGTGTCCCAGGCCTGCTGGGACAGAGAGCCTGGCCAGGCTGCTGCCGCCAGCACAGGGCAGCTCCTCCCTGACTTCGGCTCCCACACGCAAAGGCTGCCCAGGCCTCAGGCCTCAGCCCTCTTCTGCTCAGCCTCGCCTCTGGCCCGCTGGGCCCAGGCCTTCCTGCTCCCCGGGGTGATCTCCACTGACGTGGCCCGATTACAGGACGGGGGATGACACAGAACATAAAATAACGACACAGACACACATGGACATGACAATGACTCGAGTGACCAATGCACCAGTCGCTTTATTTTTATACCCCCCCAGACCCAAGGTTAGTTCCTTGTATGTGAGCATCTGAGCATAGCAGCGATATCGGTTAATTCCGGAGTTGTTTCAAAAGGGAACAATTTCCCATGGTCTCAGACCTCAAAATGGTTACTAAAGTTAAGGTGCCGAACAGAGCTCAAAAGCCAAGGCTGAGATAGGCAACATAAAACAATGCAGCCATTTGAAGTGCTTCTTGGTCTCAATCCCAGGTGGCAGCTCCTTCCTGGCCCCCACGGTTGTGCCTGTTTTAGGTCACCCTGCTCCATGGGGAGTCTTATCTGTCATTGACTACCAACCATCAATCGGGGGCCAGTTCTTGGGAGAGTTCTTATTCTTGTTCTCATGGCCTCCAGACTCCCACCATAGGGGCCCTCCCTGTGGGAGTTGGGAGCATTTGCTTATGTGCAACAATTCAGGCCTCTTATCAAGTCACAAGGCAGCAACCGTGTCTGAAGAAAATGCTGACTACTGCTGCATCAGGCAGCACTCGTACATTACAGACTATAATGAATGATTAGTATAAGGTATAACACCAGAATCAGCCCCCAACACACCACACTACCCCCCCAGGCTCTCCCTCCACCGCCCGCACCCACTGCTGCCAGCACAGTCTTTCCTAAACTGCTGATCCGATATGACAGTCTCATGCTCAGAACCTTGGATGGCTCCCCACTGGTGGCCTTAGTGTGGCACATGGGCCCTCCGAGCTCTGGTGAGCTGTGGTCCCACCTGCCCCCCACCACGGGTCCCTAAGCTAGGAAAGGCCCCTTCCTGTCCTTTCTTCTCTTTAGTCATTTTTCTAACCCCCAGTTCAATACACACACGATGCCACTGGCCCCACGGAGTGAGGTCTGGAAGCAGGTGGTGGTGGATTCCAGAAGGGTTGACTGCAATGGCTGCTTTATTCCCTTTCACAAATATCCTTCCCTTTGAAGACTATCTTTGTAAACAAGAAAAATATTTTTTTAAAAGAAAAAAAGAAAAGAATCTGCAAACCCTCAGCTCAGATACCATCTCCTCGGAGAGCTCCTCTGAACCCTGCCATGATGGCTGAGGCGCCCTCCCTCGGGCCACACACCACACTGACCCAGAGCCATCTTTGGTTTAGGCTCTGAGCCCCTCACGTGGCACTCACAACTCAGGAAGTCCACTGGAAACTGGGGACCACCAGCCTACTTTCTAGATGGAAAGCTGGCACCCTGAGAAGTGAAGCCACTACGCTAACTCATGTCGTGGGTTTGGGGTGAGGCAGGGACTGCGAGTGCAGTGCTGCTGTCCAGAGGTGAGCAGCAGGGCTAGGCACAAAGAGGCAGGACTGGCCTCAGTGACCAGCACAGGCCAGCTCAGAGACGGGTAAGTAAAGTCGATGAATAAACCATCTCAGCAGGGTGGGATGGCTGAGTGGGGCCGGCACCCAGAACCCACTCTGCAGGCACCTGGTCTACACAGGTCTGCAGGTCTCTGCAGATGCGTGGCCCCTTGGCCAAGGGAGGGTGATGAGGCCCCACCTGACCCAAGAGATTTTACCACCCTGGTCACGGAGGCAGGAGGGCAGACTCTCTGGAGCCCCAGGTCGTGCAATCTCTAAGTTGGGAGTGAGTCAGCACCTGCTGAGAGATGGTGACCAAGTCATCCAGCTTATGATCTGGGTGGGTGTAGCCACCCAGGGGAGACGTCTAAGGTCCCTTGGGACCGCCTTGAGGGCCCAGGGGGCCTGCACTGGGCACCCTGGGCCCCGAGGAGCACTGCAGGCATGGCTCCGTGAGAACCACAGCTGGATGAAGGCAGCGCCCTTCAGACAGGTGCTCCATGTGCCAGCCCTGTGGGAAGGGGAGGCCGAAGGGAGGACCCTGGAGGGGCTTGTGAGCTAGTTTAAGTCCCCAGCAGCCCAGCAAAGGCAGACATGAAGCCCATGCTGGGCAGTGGGAGCAGCTCTTCCACCTAAGGTCTGAGGCCTGCCTTCCTGAAGGCCCCAGGAGAGCACAACCCCTCAAAAGGCCGCAGCCTGGGCTGTGACACAGGGCTAGAAAGTGTTTATGGCAGGCACAGAAAGGCCTTCTAAGCCCATGCTGAACCCCAGCACCACAGCCCTCCCCTGAGCACCAGAGGCCCCAGGGTACCAGGCCCTGGGTACTAAGAAGCTTCGTGAAGGGCATCCTGAGGGTCCTACTCCAATCTTGCACTCTGCACAATTTTAGGAAAGGCTGCCATGGAACAGCAATCAGCCCTGGGATGGAGGACTGGCGAGGGCAGGGAGGAGACAGGGCCCTGCCCTCTATGATCTGGCCCTTGCCTGCCCCTCAACACACTCCCCCCTTCCCTCCTTGATCCAGCCAAAGTGCTCCCTGCTCTTCCCATGGATGGTGCCTTTGGTCATGGCCTGCACATGCTGTTCCTTCTGTCTGGAACACTCTTCTTCCTTTTCTTCCCCTTCCTAATTCCTAATTCATTTTTCATGTTTCACCCTAGAAGTCACTTACTCCAGGAAGTCTCCCCACTTTGCCCTGCTCTGATCCTGAAGAATGGAGGTGGAGTTCAGATGGAGAGTTGTGGTGGGGACAGCAGAGATGAAAGGACACGGAGATCTCCTTTGCAATAAGATTGGGTAAGGGTGGTAAGAACTGAGGCAGCAAGAACTGGGGGCAGTTCGGCAAAGACTTAGGGATGAGGTGTCTTCAGGATGGCTGGAGACAGAAGGAAGTATATGGTGGGCTAGGAAGTTAGGGGCTGAGTCTGTGAGGACAAGATACATATAAGACTTGGACTAAGGCTGAGCTGGGAGTTATCCAGAAGAAAGGGGTAAAGTCCACAGGGCACCCACTTGGGCAGAGGCAGGGTGTCTGGGATGAGCAGCTCTTGGGGAGCTGAGCAGGGCGTGTGGGAGACTGGGATAAGAAAGCTGAGCCAGAAAAGGGGAAACCAGAACCGTGGGTCTAGGGGAGGTCTGCGTGGAGCATGAGGACTGCCAGAGGGGTGCAGGGGTGAGGATGGGGCGTGCTAGAGCCAGGCGAAGGGACGTGGCCGAGACGGGGGTTGGCACGAGGCTAAAGTGGGGGTCACGAGTAAGACCGGTGGTGAGGGGATGAGGGTAAGGGCAGGGGTCGGGTCATGGGCGGAAGAAGACGCAGGGGACGGACCAGCGGTGGAAGTGCGGGCCGCGGGCTGGGAAGGGTTGAGGGCTCGGAAGGAAGCCGGACAGTCTCAGGCAACCAAGGGTTTGGGGTCTGGTAGAGGGCTGGAGGCCACCGCGAGTTCGCGTCTCGGCCCCGCCGCCCCTCCGCTGCCCTCCTCGCCCCCTAACCCCTAACTCACCAAACCGAGCGGGAGCAGGCGTGGGAGCTCCTGGTTCGGCAGCCCCTCAGCCTCGGAGCCGACGCCGCGGCCTCACGGCCACTGACAACAGGAAGCGGCGCTCGCGGCGCCTGACGCGATCTCGTTGGCTCCGCGCTCCGTTCCCGCCCGCTTCCCACAGAGCCAATCGCAGAGCCAGGAGGGCCGCGGGGCGGGGCCATCCCCTCCGGGCAGCCGGCGGTTGAGGTGACCCAGAGCCTGTGCGTGGTCTGGGTGGCTCCTGACCCAGAGTGCCCGCCGGGCTCGGAGAGGCGAAGGCACCGTGCTAGGCGGAACGCGTCCGTCCTGCCCGCCTGCGTCAGACCAGATCCTGGCTTCTGGGTTCCTGACCTCGCTCGGCCTCTGCATCATCTGCGGGACGTTTGGGCTGTCACCTCACCTCCCTCAGCGGAAAGTGTCGGCTTGTGAGTGGGACCGTTAACGCCTGCCTTATTTGTGCCCCATCCCCTGAGGGCATCCGCGCAGCCAGGCTGTCAGGGCCCGACCCAAATTGGAGCCTCAGCCTGGCGCTTTCAGGAAAACATAGCTTGTTTTGACCACACCTTACCCGAGGGGGCGCCTTGAGGTCCCCTTGAACACTCCCCTGCTGTGACTCGCCCGTCAGCCCCGCGCGGTGCGAAGTTCGGAGCCTGCGTATTCTCTTCTGGATGTAGTTGTATGTTTCTTTTCCATCGTACAAGTGAGATCTCTCTTTCAAATGAACTCAAAACAAAATGTCACAAATGGCAAAGGGCAAGAAATTGAGGGTTGGCAGGACCGTGCTTTGGGCACTTTATATTTTCAGGCCTTGGTGAAATGGAGCCTAGGACCAGAGTGTGGGCTCGTGTGGGGCAGTGGGGCGGAGCGAGGTATCACTACGAGCAGATCCAAGAGCGCATAGGGATGGCTGGGAATGGGCCATTTCTTAGAAGCAAGCTCCATGGACTTCGTCTGGGTGGGGGTTTCTGTGCTCCCTCGACTCTCCGGGAAGGAAGGTGGCCCTCATATCTCCCCAAAGGTCTGGTCCCAGTCACACTTAACATCTAAAAACCGACTGTATGGGGGCTGCTTCTTCAGCAATTCTCTTCCCAGGAATGAAAACCTCCCCTCCTCAGTTTTAGGCCAGGTACGTCTGAATATGTTCAGTACAGTTAATGTCCTAGCAGGAAGATTGGAAAGAAAGACACAGAGACAAACTGTTCTCTTGGTGTTAAATTCATTTTAAGCTGACCAGTAGATGTGAACTGCCCTTGCAAGTGTTTTGAGCTCTTTGTGCTCTGGCCTCCAACTGTGTTAGTGCATGCCCCTTCCCACCTTGTGCAGTCTGTCTCCCCCTCCCCTTTCCCTTTCCTTTTCTCACTTCCAAGTTTCCTCTCTACTGCCGGGAGCACCCTCCCCTGAGCTCAGCCTGCATTCCTGCCCACTGGCCACTTACCTAGCAGTCCCTTCACCTGCAATGCCCTTTCCTCTATTCACCTGGAAGGCTTAGATCAAAAGTTGCCATCTCCACGATGCCTCTCAAGTTCTCCTCTCTGGTCCCATAGCATGTTGCAGTTGTCTTTATTATTGCTCCAGTGACATAGTAGTGACTTTTTTTCACCATCTGGAGACTTCCTGGTGGGCTCACAGTCCATCTATAAAATCTTCTGTGGAAACGTGCACTTGGTGTGTGCATTTGTGCATTTCCCTTTCCTCCACCCTCCCCACCACAATCCATGGTTTTATGCAGCTTCACACAGGCATGTAGAGCAAGATGAGAAGAGGTACCGTGCTTCCCCAAAAATAAGACCTACCCATAAAATAAGCCCTAGCAGGATTTCTAAGCAATTGGCAATATAAGCACTACCCCGAAAATAAGACCTAGTGATGGGCATGGCTAAGCAGCGCGTATCTGCACAACCCATGCATTTTGTCACGGAGCGGTAAAGAAGACAGCAGCCCTTCTCATCTGCCCCATGAGAGCTCTATTGCTCGACATGATGAGACACCGGGGCCAATGATTCTAAAGAAAATAGAGTTGCCAGAAATTCAGGATGGAATTCAGGGTTTAGAGAGTTATGATGATGTTCCAGAAGACAATGACTTAACTATATTTGATAAATGTAGATTGTTGTACCATACTTAAAAAAAAACACATCCCCTGAAAATAAGCCCTAGGGTGTCTTCTTGAGGAAAAATAAATATAAGACCCTGTCTTATTTTCAGGAAACACTGTAGATAAGCCTACAGACGTTTCAGAGAAGTTGAGAGCCTTGGGAGGTAACATAAGGAGACAGGAGCTGCTGAAAAGCAGACAAGTGATTACTTATGAGCTCCCTTCTAGTAATCCAGCAGACAGCAGCTGAGCACACATGTAGTGTAATAACTGAAGGCTGTTATGTGTTTGATTTATAGGCAGGGAGTGCTTGTGTCAAGCCACCAATGATTTTGCTGTGCCAATTATGACCAGAAACACCATCCTTTTGCCAAGGTAAAATGATTTCCCTAGTGCCAAGCAGAGAGCCCAAAGTATGTGACCTCAGACAAGTTCCAAAAACTCTCTGAGCTTCGGATCCCCATCTGTATATGAGAGATAATGTCAGTTGATGTGAGGATTAAATAAGATAACATCTTTTTTGTTTTTTGTTTTTTTGAGACAGAGTTTCACTCTGTTGCCCAGGCTAGAGTGAGTGCCATGGCGTCAGCCTTGCTCATAGCAACCTCAAACTCCTGGGCTCAGGTGATCCTCCTGCCTCAGCCTCCCGAGTAGCTGGGACTACAGGCATGTGCCACCATGCCCGGCTAATTTTTTCTACATATATTAGTTGGCAAATTAATTTCTTTCTATTGATAGTAGAGACGGGGTCTCGCTCTTGCTCAGGCTGGTTTCGAACTCCTGACCTCGAGCAATCCTCCCGCCTCAGCCTCCCAGAGTGCTAGGATTACAGGCGTGAGCCACCTCGCCTGGCCTGTTTTTTGTTTTATTTTTGAGACAGAGTCTCGCTTTGTTGCTCAGGCTAGAGTGAGTGCCGTGGCATCAGCCTAGCTCACAGCAACCTCAAACTCCTGGGCTCAAGCAATCCTACTGCCTCAGCCTCCTGAGTAGCTGGGACTACAGGCATGTGCCACCATGCCCGGCTAATTTTTTCTCTATATATTAGTTGGCCAATTAATTTCTTTCTATTTATAGTAGAGATGGGGTCTCACTCTTGCTCAGGCTGGTTTTGAACTCCTGACCTCGAGCAATCCGCCCGCCTCGGCCTCCCAGACTGCTAGAATTACAAGCTTGAGCCACTGCCGCCCGGCCAAGATAACATCTTTAAGACAGGTTCTGGCCAGCAGTCAGCAAAGATGAAGAGGTATTATTGTCCCAGCTTGGGCTAATTTTCCCCTGCCAACTGCTCACCTTGCCTTCTACTGCTCTTGGGAGCACTTGAGTGAGATGCTTTCTTGTCTGAACTCCAAATACATCTTTACTCTGCATCTGAATGAAAGCATCAGACTAGTATTTAACATAACCACATTTCTGGAATAGCTGATGTTCTCTCTGGTTCTGTTATAGGAAGCTGGTTCTTTCTACTCCCTCTTTTTAGAAGTTGATTTAAAAAAATGTATTATACACATGTTTTCAATTCATATAGTACTAAATGAAGTTAAATGGCGATGAAACAGAATGATCCACAGTGGTTCCTTGCCCCGACTATCCCCGCCCTCCTGAGCCTGGTTACTTCTGGGGAGCAGGCTTTTAGCAGAATCTTCTTGTGCTTTTTGTGCTTGTGTCTATGTCTCCTGCATTCTCCTTCTATTTTAGACACTGTCTACTGCATTCCTAGTAACCACAGTCCACTCTCGAGGTTTGGTTATGTCATGATTTCTAGTAAATTAATAATGTTTACAGAATTGAGACTGTGTAAATATTGTTCACTATAGAGCTTAATGATGTACTCTGTTTAGGGCTGTTTCCTTCCTTCCTGGGGTGTTTAATGTCCTCTGCCATGATCTCATCCTCATTCCCTTCCATACCTCTGGCACCAAAGTTGGGCCTGTGCCCTCAACGCCCTCTATGTGTTCTGTCCTCATGTGCTTGAGTTACCTCCTGGGCCTGTCACATACTGTCATTCTGGACCTTCCTCTCACTGTTTCCTGGGTTGGGCCTTTATTTCCCAGCTCCCCTCTCTTTTTGCTTAATTTACCCTCTCTTTGCAGGAGCACATCATCAGTTAAGAATCCCTTTCTATATTATTAATAATTTTTAAAAAATAATAGTTTTTAGACTTCCTCATTATAGCATTTGTATTTTTAGTATTCATTAATTGAAAAAAAACAAAACAACATAAGGACTAAAAATTACCATGAAGACACAATGCTTTTAAGTGAATTTGTGTGTTATTTACCATAATAGCACTTAATGGACATGTGAAAAACTGTTTGCTAAAGGGTTAGTTCAATCTAGCTTCAATCTTTTATCCTCCATTCCTCATCTCACCCTTTTGCCTTCTGGTAACCGAATCTCTTGTTTTATTTTTGGGGATGAGCCTCCTGGTTTCCGTGAAATTCTGCTGGGATTGAGTCAGTGGTTTAAGGCCCAACCCCAAGAGGTACCTGTGGCCATGGGTTGGCCAATCAGCATCTCCTCTTCCCCAATCCAAGGGTTCAAGCTGGCCAATCAGAGGTCTTTTTAGGGATGCCTTTTCTCTGAGCTATTTCCTCCACAGCAGTGTAGAGTTGGAATGACCACTTTTACAGACATGGGGTGCCAGTCCTCCCAAGGCTGAAGCCATCACAGAGGAAAGCAGATGGGGAGAGGATAACATTTGAGCCATGGATGCAGCTATAAGCCCTTAGGCTTTCCTGTTATATGAGCTGATATAGTATATGCCATTTTTTGTTTAAGCATGTTTTAGTTGGATTTCTTTCACATGGAACATAAAGAGCTCTAACTAATATATCATCTTTTTGGGTATGGGCAAGTTATCTCTCCCCCAGCCTGTTTCCTCTTCCTTTAGTGGGAGAGAATTAGATCCACCTCACAGGTAGCTGTATGATTTAAACGACATGTATACATGCTCAATATATAATCACTACTAGTGACATAATACCTATATTTGGGGGAGGCAGGATTTATTTGCTCTGCAAGTAATGCTTGAGGCACACGTACATTCAGAGGCCCCTGCTGTAACCGCCCCTCCAATGATCTATAGCCACAGATTGGAAATCACTGCTCTAGAGGTTGCCAGTTGAGCAGAGTAACTTAATTCTCCTGTCCCCATTTGGTCTGTGTGTATTCTTTAAGAGTGTAGTTTGGTGTCACACAGTTCCCCCACCCCATTCCCTCCTTAACTGGCCTGGTACACAGGTTACTTCTAAGCAGGACCTCTGTCCTGTCATACCAATTTTCAAATGTGCTCAGGAGCTAGGTGCTCCCAAGTTGTGCCTTCTACAGAACACTTATTTCTGTTAGAGAACTAGAAAGAACCTTGCCATTTCTTTACCTGTCAAATGATGATGGTCCCATGGATTGTTGGGTTAAATGATATAAGGCTGTAAAATGCCTAACCTAGGGCTTGGCACCAAGTAAGCAAATTGTAAATGGTGGCTGCCGCTGCTGCTGCTTCCTGTTATTACTATTTGGTCTTCTGCTTTAAACCCAGTAAATGTTTTCTGTTGAGATAGGGTTTTGCTCTGTCGCATGGGCTAGAGTGCAGTGGCATCATCATAGCTTGGTGCAACCTCAAACTCCTGGGCTCAAGACATCCTCCTGCCTCAGCCTCCCCAGTAGCTGGAACTATAGGCACATTCCACCAGCCCAGCTAATTTTTCTATTTTTTGTAGAGCCAGGGTCTCGCTATGTTGCCAAAGCTGGTCTTTAACTCCTGGCCTCAAGTGATCCTCCTGCCTCAGCCTCTCAAAGAGTTGGAATTATGGGTATGAGCTACCTCACCGGGCCTTCGGTAAATGTTTGATGGCTCACTGAAGTCAACACACAGAGAAAGACACTTGTTTCTCATTCTTAGTAAGGAACTTTGGGAGGTCACTGGGGCAGGCATCAAGACAACAGGTGTGTCTCTTGCCCAGCACTGGTGAATGGATCGGCCAGGTGGGGAACTGAGGGTCGTTCACTTTGCCAGACCCCTCACCAGCAAACATGCTGGGCTGCTCCCTAGCTGGATGGCTGGAGCCTCTGGGGGTTGCTGTGCTGTTCTTCTGTGACATGCACAGCTCTTCATCTGTTATCATGGAACTGGCAGCATTCATTTGGTTAGGTAGAATGTCAATTCTTATTCATTCGGATTTTCTCTTACTCACTAATGTGCTTAACTCTCACCGACTTACTAAATGTGATTTATTAATGACTTTTTTGAGACAGAATCTCACTCTGTTGCCGGGGCTAGAGTGCTGTGGTGTCAACCTAGCTCACAGCAACCTCAAACTCCTGGGCTCAAGCAATCCTTCTGCCTCAGCTTCCCGAGTAGCTGGGACTACAGGCATGCGCCACCATGCCTGGCTAACTTTTTCTATATATTTTTAGTTGGCCAATTAATTTCTTTCTATTTTTAGTAGAGACAGGGTCTCGCTCTTGCTCAGGCTGGTATCGAACTCCTGAAGTTGAGCTTCAGGAGCTTCGGCCTCCCAGACAGAGTGCTAGGATTACAGGCGTGAGCCACCATGCCTGGGCCTTATTAATGACTTTTTAAAGATGGAGCAGAGGAACCCTTGCATCTTCTGCAGAGTTGCACCTGCATTATCACTTGGAACAGGCAGCCATGGATCTGTGTTGGGTGAGGCAGGAAGCGTGTGGATTTGGTGCTGGGTGGTGCTGGGGGTGCAGGAGGGTCAGGAGTGGCCAGGGCAAAGCGTGTGAGTGGAGAAGCAGCCCCTCCAACAACGCGTTTTCTGCGAAAAGGCCGCAGGAGGGCTTTCTTGGGAAATTACTGCTCTCACACATTCTTCTTCACCTTACCCCCCAGCACCTCCCTGCTAGCTATCCAAGGGTTGGGATTTTTAAAAAGAAAAAATAAACAAAAAAACCAATGTGAATTTTCCAGCTTTAAAGGATGGAGAACTCCCTACCAAGACAGGACACACATTTACACATTAGTTTGAGGGCTTGGGAAGAAAGATAGGACTTGGCCCTACAGTTCAGGGAGGCTCAGCGATCTAGACATTCTGGGAACCCCACTGACCCTATGAGAGGGGCCAGAAGGTGGACCGACCCCCTGTGGGCAGGAGGCCAAGTATGTCATAAATGACTGGTTCTTGTTAACCAGGGGAGAGAGCCCCAGAACAACTGTATTTGATTTAAAAATCAACCCCTCCCCCCCAAGGATGATATGTTTTCAGGTTCCTGGAGACTGATTAGACTGGGAAATGAGGTGGGGAAGCCCTGTGAGTCTTCTGTCCACACCGCCCTTGTGGGAGTGTTGCCCAGCACCAGGGATTCTGGCCTCAGTCCTGTTTTTCTTTCCTATGGCCTTTGTTACCTGCAGATAAATATTTAACTAGTTACATTTTAATTTTTTACCATGTGGGTGGAATTGGCAATGGATACATTTTAGTATGAGAAAAATAAGTCTCTTACAAGCAATGCTCAGAATCCTATATTAGAAAATAAAATTTGTAGGCGGCCTGAGGCAGGCTGGGTCACTATCAATCCTCCTCATCCTCTGGCGGGTTCTCACTTTCCTCAGCTTCGGTAGCCGACTCCACCGGTGTGGTCACCACAACTTCAGAGAGCTCCCTGGGATAGGAAGACAATGGCAAGGTTTTTACTCTTGAAAGGAGCAATTAAACTTTTCATTATCGCTCATTTTAGATATGATTTTAAGTTGTCCCCAGCCATTTACCCAGCATCCTTGTTGAAAATCTCCTCCTCTTCAGAAGACTCCTTGTCGTGCAGCTGCTCTGCCATGTTTTTCTGGCGTGTGGCATTGAGAGGTCTGTACATATCTCTAAGCCAAAGTGGCCAGCTGAACCAGAAAAAGCCCCTTTGGGGGAAACACACACATAAGACAATTAGTGATTCTTGCCATTTTCAAGGGCTCTCACGATGTACATCTCTGGTCTTATTAGGACTAAACGTGTACCTTGGTCCATAATCACAGTGAACAACATCACTACAGACCTGGAATCCTGAAAATAATTCCATGTGTGCTGGATTCCAGAAGCTCTCCATGTCTGTCCAAGAGGGCCCCACAGTGTCACTGGGGAGACTTTGTGTGTGGCTTGGCATTGAATATAGGCAGGATTTTCAGTCCCACTCACCCACCTTGGCCAAGTGCTCTTGTGCAGGAACAAAGCGTACAACCATACAGGGCAGAAGTATTTTACTCTCTCCAGAAGCATTTTACATCAGTCCCTTTCCACCTTAGTCCCACATGCAGCATTTGCTGGGGAGTAAAGGATAAAGTATTTCTATTTTCCTGGAAGCTTTGTCCTATAATTTGAGTCACATCAAGCATGCCTTAGTCTAGCTAGCAAAGTGATCTCTCTTACAGATTTTCATACTGCAGGCTGTCACTGGGGAGTGAGCTGTGAAATCAGCTTAAAGGACAAAATATTCTTTTTGAATATGAACAGAATGGAAACAAATCAGAGTGCATTGTTTTAGAAACTACTTATGTCTACACAGCCTATGTGTATTGATTTGTGATATAAAATGCAGCTCACAGCCCAAGTAGAGTATAATCAATGGAGAAGCCCCCAGCTGGAAAGGGACCACTCTCTTTCTGACACCCACTAGCAGTGTGACCACAGGGCAAGATAATTTCTCTTTCTCTGTCTCTATTTCCTTCTTACAAAAGGAAGAGACAAACTATTGTCTAAGATCTCTCCTAGTTAAAATTCTATGAGGTTGAGGTAAAAGGAATAGTGGGGTCCCGAAAACCAGTAGGATGAGAAGGTAGGTTTTCCTGATACTCTAGAGGGAGGATTCATATCTTCCACCTTCCATCAGCCTTGAAGGAGACTGGCTCCCTTGCCCCCATATCATGTGGCCTTCCCTATCTCTTCCCCAGAGCCTACAAAAAGGCCTCCGGGCCTGGCCTGATGCCCACCACCAGCAGGGACAGACACAACCACAACCCCCCCACCTTCCCTTGAAGGACTGGTGACAGCAGATGCGTCCTTGCCAGTCCTGTCCAACTCAGCTTTGGCTGGGGAGCTAATTTTGCTGGAGGCAGGCAAAGCACTAGGATAGGTAAGTATTCTTCCTGCTTCTAGCAGTTTCCTCACTGTAAAATGAGGGGATTGAAATAGATGCGTTCTAAGTTCTCCTCTAGTTTTAAAATTCTAATTTAAATATTGCCAGACCAATATTTACCTCCTTGAAGATGCTTCTGAATCTCCTTGTGATGCTCTTTTGTGAGAATATATCTGTTTTGGAAGAAAACGATCATGATTATCCATCATAATGGCCACTATCTCCAAATCTTTGTTCATTCCTTTTATTTATTTTTTTTTTTTTGAGACAGGAGTCATTTGTTGCCCAGGCTAGAGTGAAATCGCACGCCCTAGCTCCACAGCAAACCTCAAACTCCTGGGCTCAAATGATCCGCTGACCTCAGCCTCTCAACGTAGCTGGGACTAAGCAGGAATCGCGCCACATCGCCGGCTAATTTTCGCCTATATATATTATTGCAATAATCTCTTCTATTATAATAGAGACCGGTCTCGGCTCCTTGCTCCAGTCTGGTTTTCAACTCCTACGCTCCGAGCAATCGCCTGCCTCGGCTCCGCCAGGAGTACGAACAAAAACAAAAAAAAAACAAAAAAAAAGAAAAAGAAAAACAACAACAGAGCACTAGATATACAGGCGTGAGCCACCGTGCCAGCTTGTTCATTCCTTTTAAGTCTTATCTACCCAGTGGAGTAATTTCTTTTTATTTATTAATTCATTTTTTTATATATAAGGGTCTCACACTGTTGCCCTGGCTAGAGTACAGTGGCATCATCATAGCTTACTGTAGCCTCAAACTCCTGCGCTTATGTGATCTCCTGCCTCAGCCTCCTGAGTAGCTGGGACTACAGGTGAGGCTAAGAGAGAACTTCTTTGAAGATAGGAATTCTTTTTTTGAGACAGAGTCTAACTTTGATGCCCAGACTAGAGTGAGTGCCCTGGCATCAGCCTAGCTCACAGCAACCTCAATCTCCTGAGCTCAAGGGATCTTACTGCCTCAGCCACCCGAGTATCTGGGACCTCAGGCATGCACTACCTTGCCCGGCTAATTTTTTTGAATATATATTTTTTAGATGGCAATTATTTCTTTCTATTTTATAGAGACGGGTCTTGCTCAGGCTGGTTTCAAACTCCTGACCTTGAGCAATCCACCCCCGCCTCAGCTCCCAGGGTGCTAATTACAGGCATGAGCCACCATCGGCCGCCTTTTTTTTTTTTTTTTAACAGAAGAACTTGCTCTGTGCCTGGCTAGAGCTACAGTCGCATGACATAGCTCACCTGCACCTCAACTCCTGGCCAGGATCCTCTGGTGCCTAGGCCGTCACAAGTTGGCTAGGACTCCGCTGCATGCCTACGCACCGCTAGTCTAATTTTCTATTTTTGTAGTAAGATGGGAAACTTGTGTTGCCTCAGGCTGATCTTGAACTCCTACTCCTCAAGCAGTCTCTCCTGCCTCAGCCTTCCAGAGTGCTAGATTACAGGCACATACGAGCTGCCAATTGCACCTGGCCTGAGGATAGGGAGTTCTATCCTATTTATGTTTGCTTTGACTCTTTTCCTTGGGACTGCACAGGGACTTTCTAGACCCATCCCGTCCTCCAATACATGAAACAAGGAGCTCCGCCAAATCCCTATAATAACAAAATGTTAACCGGCGCGAAGGGCCTGTGGCTGAACCGCCTGTAATCGCCTACTATTGGGAGGCCGAGGCGGGCGGAATTGCGCCAAGGTGCAGGAGTTTCAACCAAACCAGCCGAGCAAGAGCGGACGACCCCCCGCTCTACTAATAAATACCGCAAAGAAATTAAATGGCGCACCTGATAATATACATGAGCGCAAAAAAAAAAATTAGCCCGGGCATTGGTGGCGCATGGCCTGTAGTCCCAGGCTACCTGGGAGCTGAGGCAGAAGATCACTCGAGCGCCCAGGAGTTTGAGGTTGGCTGTGAGCTAGGCGACCACAGGCACTCCACTCTAAAGGGCGCTGGGCCACCAGAGTGACGACTGCTTCTCAAAAAAAAAAAAAAATAATAATAAATAAAATGTATAGTATTCTGTGATAATACACCTATGTACAATTCCTATATAACCTTTATTTATTTACTTTTTTTTATTTTTATTATATAAGTGGAACGAGGTTCTGGGGCCAAGAGCGGGGGCAGGCCGACAGTCGCCCTCCTATATACTTTAAAGCACGCCAGTTACTTATCAATATCTAATACAAAGGTAAAGTGGCTATGTTATTACACCTAATTTTTTTATCTTCATTTTATTCATTCAATAAATTTTGATGCACTCTGTTTGGTTGAATTTGCAGATGTGGAACCCAACAATGCAGAGGCCAAGCTGTGCTAGCTCTGGGTCCTGTATTGCCTGCTGGAACTGTTAATAGATTTTATTGACTCATTTTAAGATAACAAAGTACATTACCTTGATGAACAACTCCATAAAGTGAAAAAAGGAAAACAATCCGTTGACGTTGAGCAAAGCAGTACCACCACGCAAGCCCTAAACAACACGGGCATTGTTTAAAGTCAAGAACAAGAGTAGGAATGGCCTGTAAATTATTGGCTAGCTATATCATCATTGTTGAGGAGGTCCTGATCAATGGAATAAGAAAAATATAACGAGGTTGTAAAGCCATTGGGAAAGGGAAGAGACAAAAGTATCTTGCTTTGCATATGGAATATGAAGACAACCTTAAAAAGCCCAAAAGAATCAAACTTTTGTATTAGAATATATGAAAAGTTCAGTAAGATGGTTCTACTACGAAATCAAAGAGATCAGCAACCGCCACAACACCTCAACTAGCTTTTACGTAGTACCACCAATAACTAATTAGAAAAACTGAAGAAAGATCCCATTTACAAAACCAAATAGAAAATGTATTAACAGTATTTAGGAACAGAGATACAAAGATCTTTTACCTAACCAGGAGATGTAAGATCTATGTGATGCGCAAACATGAAACTCTTTCTGAAGGCATTAGGAAGAAGTGATGTGCCAGGTGTGGTAGGCACTACCCCTGTAATACTAGCATCTGGGAGGCCAAGTAGAGGCAGATTGCTCGAGGATCAGGATTCGACAACCAGCCTGGAGAAGAGTTGACCTCATCTCTACTATTAAATAGAAAGGAAATTAATTGACCCAACATTAGTATCTCTGTTCCAAACTGACTCTTATACATTTTATTGTGTTTGTAAAGGATCTGTGCGTCCAGTTCTAATTAGTTATTCGTGGTACATAGTAAAAGGTATTGAGTTGTGCTGATCTCTTGATTTTGTATAGAACCATCTTACTGAGTTTTCATATACTTCTAATAAAAAGTTGATTCTTTTGGGCTTTTTGGGGGGGGAGGTGTTGTCATTGCATATGCACAACAAAGTACTTTTTGGTCTCTTCCTTTCAAAAAATAAGAAAAAAATTAGCTGGGCATTGGTGGCCCATGCCTTAGTCCCAGCTACTCAGTGGCTGGAGCCGAGAAGGATTCGCTTGAGCCCAGGAGTTCGAGGTTCTGTGAGCTAGCGCTGATGCCACGGGCACTCACTCTACGGGGCAACACCAAGTGAAGACTCTGTCTCGAAAAAAAAAAAAAGGAAAGAAATGAATACATTCCATGAGATACACCATGTTCCCAGAATGAAGAAAAGATGTCAATTCTCAAATTATTTTACCAATTTAATGTGATCCTCTTCCAATCCCATGATAGCCTTTACAAAAACTGGCCAGCTAATGTTTGGTAGACAAAATATGCAAGAATAGCTATGAAATGTATGAAAAAAATAAGACCAAAGAGAAGGAGCTTGCCCTACCAAATATTTAACTCAAAATAGGTCACAAAGCAATGGAATTAAGTAGTATAATACTATTACTGGTACAGAAAGACAACTGGATCAATGGAAAAGAATAGATTTCAGATACAGATGATATTTTAAATCTGTGAAGAAAGAATGAATCATTCAAAAAAATTATTTTAAAACAATTGAGTTTTCATATAGGAGAATAAAAGATCCTCTACCTCAACCATACTAAAAAACAAATAATAAAACAAATTCCATATGGGTTAAAAAATTTAAATAATACAATGTCATCAAAATACTAAAAGAAAATATCAGAGTGTATCTTCATTCTATGGGTTTGATGAAGGCCTCTTTCCCAAGCCCCACACCAGGTAAGCCGTGGGGTGAGGGCCGCTGATGGGATGACTCAGACTATAATCACACCTGCTCGTCATAGCCTTCGTGTCCCCTTTTCCACTGGATTGTTTGTCTTTTGATTTATAACACTCTTTTTATATTAAATATATGAATCCTTTCAAAGATCTTCATTGTATTTTAATGTTTCAAATACTTCTCTGTGTTTTTGTCTTTAAGGAGGCGGAACGGAACAGTGGTAATAAAGAATGCAGGCTTTGCAGTCAGCGGAATCTGGGCTCTGTGTTTGGCTTTGCTACTGGGGCCTTAAGTTGATCTCCTTCATCTGTACAAGAGGATGATGTCATCTTCCTAACAGGATCGTGAGGATTAAACCAGACAGTATGTGGAAAACTCTCCATCCCATGCTTGGCCTTCCTCAGGAATAAGTTTGCCAGTGGTCTCACAGACCAGGTGGTCAAATCCACCAAAGGTTTCTGCCTGCACTATCAGGCATAGAAAGCTCCTTTCCATCACATGATTATAAAAATATTGCTTCTATTTTCTTTCTAATACTTTTCTTTTTTTTTACATGTACTGAAATATGTTTAAGGTCAGAAATAGGGATCTGCCATTACTTGTCACCCAAATAGTTAGGCAGAGCTGTTCTATTACCATTTATTCATTTTCTTCCACTAATTAGCATATTAAAAGGTGACATTTCAAAAGTCTTAGGAACACATGGATTGTCTGTTGCCAGACTCCACATGCTAATTCAAATAAATATTAGGTTGCATTATTCTTCACTGTGGAATTAACATAATGCCACATCCCTCTTCCTGTAAATGCCTTGTCTACTAAAGATAAAACACTGCATGCTACCTTATCCTCAAAAAGCTTATCATCTAAGTGGGGTGAGGAAATAAAGAAAAGATATAAATACAAATATAAAGGTTAAACTGTACATAGAAACTAAAAGCAGTAGAGGAGTTTATAGGAATTTCAGAAAAAAAAAGCAAAAGGCCACATGCCACCTGGAAATGATGCAGAGGGTACTGTCTGTGTAATGGCCAGGGACTGTCTTCCTGAGGCCTTGACAAATTGACCCCATGCTGGTCCCTGCTTCCTGGGCTCTGAAATCAGACTCTGTCCTCAAGAGAGAATTCACTTCTTCCTTTTGGAGCAGTCTCACCATACCAATATCACAAGACTGACCAAAATCAGAATTCCAGATTATGCCTTGTCAATGAGAAATACATCTGCTCCAAAGACAAACTCTCTGTAGACAGAGGCCTCCGCGGCACACTCAAGTGCACTCAGAAAGCTACTCGGTGAAAACGGAATTAGAACAAAAGGAATCAGCTGAATCCAGAGTTTAACGGAAAGGGCTGAGGTGGCCGGATGCGCCCATCTCCCCCTAGGCACAGTCTCAGCAGTGGGCCTGACCCCACGTCTGCCAGCTGAGGCTGTGGGTACTCTCGTGCGATGTTAGGATGGACACTGCCCACCCTGGTCTCTTCTTCACCTTTTCTATGTTTTCACTACTGATCAGCCTCCTGCAGAGAGACATGTTTTTCTTTAGGTAAGTTAATACAGGTTGAGTATCCCTAATCTGAAAATCTGAAATCCAAAATGCTCCAAGGTCTGAAATTTTTGAGCACCAACATGACACTCCCAGGAAATGCTCACTGGAGCATTTTGTATTTCAGATTTTCAGATTAGGGATGCTCAGCTGGTAAGTATAATGCAAATATTTCAAAATTTGAAATATCTGGAAAATCTGAAAAACATTTCTGGGCCTGAGCATCCAGATAAGGGCCCCTCAACCTGTACATTCCACCAGGTTCTGTTCCTGTCTCATGGATCAGGGAGCCATTGGTCCTTACAGCTCTGCTCTGTTTCATGTGCTGACCCAGGGGTTTCTGTCTCGGGTAGCCGTCTTTAAAAAAATTGTTTGCCACAGTTTTAAGTTTTCAGGGAAGGGGAAATGCTTCACCATGTCCTCTAAGAAATGGTGACAAATCACACAGAGGGAGTGGGCCCAGGAGGGCCAGAATATTCATGGAAGGCATCGTGAAGAAAGATGAACTTGAGTTGGCTTTTGACAGATTCACAGGATTTCCACGGGCAGAGTGAAATAAGAGAATTTTAGATGGGCAGAGGCACAGACGAAAGCAGGGATGGGAATGGTGTGACTGGGGTATGGTGTGGGGCTGCTTTGGCTGGAATGGAGGGCTGCTACGGCAGTAGAAAAGGTAAATTAAGTAAGGTAGATTAGGTTGGTTGAGTCATGATTGTCAGCTTATTAAACCACTCTTTTAATATGCTAGCACCTACCTGTTGTGAAAAGTAATAGACCATTATGAAATTGAACAAAAGGTAAACAGAGGCAAGCTCCAGGAAGGAGCCACTGTTAATATGACACACCTCAGAGTAGCTGGATGCAGGGTTTAACTGGACCTATTTAGACAATGCCTTACACACTGGAGGAGGATGCTACCTGAATCTAATGAATCTACAAGATGACACTTCTATTTTTGACTGTGTCCTTTCTCCCCAGGGTGATGGCAGCTCTGTGAGGGAGGAGATAATACATCTCTCATCATTTCAGCAACAAAGAAAGAAATCAGTGGTAGAATGAGAGTCATTGGTGAGTACATCAAATAGTTTACATAGTTTTGGGTTGGAAAAATTTTGCTATAATATCAACTTTAGCTTTCTTAAACTTCTCAAAATAGTGTCATGGTTTGTTATAACTTGGTTTCAATCCACAGAGATCTCCTGGGAGTGGGGTTACTTTAAAAATCCTTGATATATAGGTTGCAATAAAAGAACAAAGCATACCTCAGTCTTAGTGACTGTAGAGGAATGTTAGGAAATAGTAGGTAGGAAAGTAGATTTGATTTTCAATTCACGGGTTCTGAATCTATTATAAAGGATATATTCTGGAAACCTGAATTAATTGTTGTCCTTACCTCAATGAGACAGAAAATTATAATCAAAATCATCACTACTGCAGTCACAGATATTGCCAAGATGAGTTTGTTGTTATAGCCATATGCTGGAACTTCTTTAATGAGCTAAAAAAAAAAGAAAGAAAGAAAGAACAATTAAAAAACAACAACAAAAAAAGAGATGGAAAGGATGAAAGCTAACTATTCAAACTCCCATTCTTCCAGGTAAATAGCTTACAGGTTCTTCAAGAACATATCAAATCTGATGTGTTACATAATCTTATTATTAAGCATTTTATTCTACAATTTCTTTATCTTGAGTGTTAGATCTGCTTCATTCCCTAAATGAGCAAAGTGGGAATCACTGTCATGGCCAAAATTACATGGCCAAGACAAAATATGGACTTGTCTACCCAGGTCTTGCTGCATGGGTGTTTTCATGGCCTATCTTAAATGATGGAAAAGTCTATCCTGTTTCTGCAGTTGTCCTCACCTCACTGGACTCCTGCTCTGTCTGTTGGCTCTGGGTTTCTATGTTCTCATTGATATAGTTCTCCATGTTCCATTGATCCATGTCCCATTCTGCCTTGGATACTTTTACTTCTTGCTGCTCACTGAGAAGCTTCATCAGGAGGCCTGTTCTAGAGATGAGCTTTGCACAGGCCAACTGCACATGGCTCTCAGAACAGTCCATTTTCAAAGTCCGGATGACGTGAGCAATGAGCCTTCGCACGTCGTTGTTGGGGATGAGGGATTGTAGCTGCTGGCTTAGCTGAATTTCAAACTGATCACCTGGGGACGAGAGCAGTGGATAAGTCAAGCTTTTGGGCATGGGGGTTGAGTCAGTGCCCGTGTTGTGGTATTCCCATTGGGTTTCATTGGCTTCTTTAACGGATGGTATTATGTTGAATGCCGCCCCAATGGACTCTGCATCAGAAGGATTCTTGTAGGTTGTGCTTTCAGGTAAGGTTTCTTCAGGCACAGCAGTGCTATCTACAGAAACGTTTTCTTCAAAAGTATTTCCTTCAGGGAATGTACTAATGTTTCCTGTGGAAAGTTGTGAAAGAGCAAATAATTTGGGTAAAGGATTCTCCTGAGGACTCGGGTCTCCTGAAGATGAAAAAGCTTCATGTGAAGGGGAATTTATGAGGCTCCTTACTGGAGAGAATGGAGGCCTGTTTTGACTCCATATCAGTCTTTTGAGCAAACTTTCCTTTTTGACCTCTTGACTTACTTTGGCCTTGGGTGTTCTATGGCCCACATGGGAATGAGTTTTATGAAAGTGATATTTTTTTCTGGAATGTACGATTGGCTGACCAGCCTCCATACTTTTAACTCTAGCATTTGCGTCTTCTAAAACAAAAATGGTGTCAGTCAAGTCTTTTGATTTGTTTTTAACCTCAGGTAGGGATTTCGCAGTGGTGGGAGCAGAAGACACACCCACTGAGTCCTGTTTCTGTAAAGAAGAGACAGCTGCCTTATGCTCCTGGGTGAACAAAGGCTTGGTGTAGAAGGAGCTTTCCACAAACTTCCTGGGCCTCTGCACTGCATGAAGCTGTTCCATTTCACTGGGGACTGGTCTCCCAAGCCTTCTTGCTTGGGCAATTTTCTTTGCAATGGGCCAGGCACTCTGTTTCCTCCTGATTCTCTCCTCTTCTAAGACCTTTTTCCTTATGCCCTTTGGTCTCTTGAGGACTATCTTCATCCTCTGCCTCATCCTTTTCCCTATACCCTCAATCTGTGCCAGGCTGTTTTCCTGTGGTTGAAGAGTTTCCAATTTTTTGGAAAAGATTTGGCGTTTAAATTTGGGACCGAAAAGGCTAGACTGCATAAGCATGGCAGTTTTTTCTTTCTTTTTAACCTCATCAATTTTGTCTTGAATTTCTGCATCTAACAAATTTTCCAGAAAATAGAGTTTCCTCAGTTTATTTGTGTAAGTTGAATTGTGGAATGCAGGTTCAAGAGAGGTGGTCTTTGTATTGTTTTTCAGATGACTCCGGGGCTTGTCTCTATCTTGTACATTTGAAAAAAGTAGTTTAATGAACGGTAATAATGTTGATTCTACATCTTCTAGATTTCCCTCTGAGAAGTAAGGCAATATGTAATTTAGTGCACTAATAACATCGCTTTCATCATTGAAGTCCAGCGGCTCATTCGTGAAGCCTGACAAGCTGATGCCATTTTTATCTGCGGGTGTCTCTGGCTCAATAGTCAGCTCAGTGCTGGTGTGCTGCTTCCGGGCTTGTACTACCTTCATGAGTGTAGATCCTCCTGCATTCTCTAGAGATGCTTCTTCAACTGTCAAAAGAGAAGAGACTGTTTTTGATAATGAAGGACTGATGGAATAGCTTTTTGTCAGTCCACAACCATATATCCCACTCAAATAAATGATCAGACACCAAACAGGTGAGTGCCATTTAGAGAGGAGAAAAACTGACCCAAACTTAAACCTATGAAATGGCAACAACAAAAGGGAAAAAGATATCTTTTGAAAAAGTGGCTACCTGCTGAGAACATCTCATAATGTGAAATATAGCAACTCTATTTAGGATTATTCCATTGGTCCCCAACAGACCAGCGCTCATTAAAAGTACATGGCGGAAGCTAAGTGCTCCCCATGAGCCAGCCTCTCTGCGGATCTGCGTTCTCACGCTCTTGTAGCCCATGCTGTCCTGCCTCACATGCAGAGGGGCATGCTTGCGTTCTTGCTGCCATCTCAGAAGAACAGGACAAAGACAGTCCTGTGAGGGGAGCAAGAGCAGAGGCCACACGCCCACTGCTAAGGGGTCCTCCTCTGGATGCTCCTTGTCCACCTCCCCCACCAGTTCCTCTGCTTGGCCCCCACTGCCAAGTACACTAGCACCCATTATAGGAGGCTCTCCACACAAAAAACCACTAGGTCCATCCTGGGTCTTTCCTTAAATTTGGGCAGGGATCTGGGGTGGATGTTAAGAGATTTTTAATTTGTCAGGTGTATGCCTATGTGGAATGTTCAGTAGATCTCAGGAAATGACAAAAATTTCTGGATAAACATTACTTGAGGTAATTACTTGAGGCAGAAGGGAAAAAGCAACTTTTGCCTACTTTGCTTTAATTTCATTTCTGTAATTTCCAGCTTTACTTGGGGAACCATCCAAAGCTTCTAACTACATGCAGGGCACGTGTACCATGGTGGTGTAGGTAGATGTTTTTCCCCCGGAATTAAAAGTTTCTGTGGTGGTGGTGAGGGTCCGAGGAGTAGGTAAGCGCTATGAGAAAGGAGGAACATGGGCTGTGGAGAACCCAGAACTGGGGACAGAAGACCTGGCAATAGACTACAGCACTTTACGCCTTTGATCTTGTTTTCCCTCATCTGTAAAACAAGATTAAAAATGTTTGGTCTGCCCACCTCTGGGGCAGAAGGGAATAATATAATAGCATTGGTGAAGAACTCTTTTGGAAAGTGAGTTATACTGTGTTTATATAAGCAATAAAGAATTCTTTTTTTTTATTATTTATTTTTTTTATTTTTTATTCTTAGGCAATTACAAGATGAAAGTAAAGAATTCTTATTGATTATCTGCCCTATGTCACTGGTAGAGACCATATTCAAGTTGTCTGGACATGAAAGCAGTTGCATTTTGGAAGTCATAAAGTTAGCACTAATAAACCTAATATGTAGAAAAACACTTAAAAGCACCTGAGTGTTTGCTTTGTGGCTATAAAAGCTTAAGATTCAGAGCAAGTTCAGAGTTCGACAGGCTGAAGAATGGAAAAGCCCTCCATTCCGTTAGAAGAGCCAGGTAGCATTTTCTGGCTATGGAACCAGAAACTCTCAGGCTCCAAATAAAACAGTGTCACTTTTACTCTTTTATAAAATTATAATAACAAACAAACCAAAACCAGATCTACACCTGTCCTATAAGGCAGAGGGCACTTGAGATCTAATGCATATAAAACAGGTTTACAAACTGTGATGTGCTGTATAGATAAGTTAGGGGGGGCAAAACACCAGGGGGCAAAACACCAAGCAAAGAGCACAGTACACAGTGTGTGGCCTATAATGTTATGCCCTTCCCCTTCCATTCATTCCTCCTGGTCCTTTATGGATGTGGAACAGTTACATTATTAAGTTATGTAATAATAACTGAGAACTTGACTTTCAGCAAGGGAGTAGTTCAGAAATTTAGGGAGTTTAACTCTGAATGAATGAATAAAAATAAAGCAGTTGCATCATTAGCTTAAAAACTATCAATTAAAAATAAAAAATTAAAAAGCAAATAAAATAAAAATTTAAAGAATTATCATCAGGCAATTTAGACTCACGACAATCTGTGGTGTTTGTCAGACATGCATTCTCACAATGCAGCTTCACTGTCTTGCAGACAGCCTCAATATTATTTTTAAATTGGCAGATGCAGCAGGTGAGACGGGTAGGTAAGATCCTATAAATGGAAACATAGAGAATTAAATTAATGTAAAGGGTTTACTTCAGTTGATAGAAGAGGCAGGCCAAGGCTACCAGAGGCAAAGGCAAAAAGAAGTTCTTGAGGCGTATGGCCTGGTTAGTTGTTGAGTAGGAACCAGATGGCCAATAGGAAGGAGGACAGAGGTTGGTGAGCATGGCCGTGGGTATGGTATGCCTAGAAAAAAGATGATAGAGATTAGAGTTGCCAGGAGTGGTAGCTTACACCTCTAATTCTAGCCCCATGGGAGGCTGAGGAAGGAGGACCATTTGAGGCTAGGAATTCAAGACCAGCCTAGGCAACATAGCAAGAACTTGTCTCTTTAAAAAAATAAAAATAAAAACAACAAAAGGGATTAAATGGGATATTGATTTGTAGTTTAATTCAGAAGTTATCTTCTCCCAACTCAAAAGACTCAATTTGGGTTGAGAGCACACAGAAAAAAGACCGACTTCTAAGAAGAGTCTGAATAAGCCCCCAACTTCTGAAGTCCCTTTCTCAATTGCTATTGAGAGTGGTAAATATTAGAAATTACTCTGGGCATAAATAACAGCTTAGTTTAATCCATATTATGGGGTTGAACATTAATGGAGATTGCATTGGCCATATCTGGGCAATTTGAGCATTCAGAAGAATAATGATGACAATAAGGTACTACATAATTACTGTAAAGAAGAATCCATGAATTCACAATGATACTCTAAAAGAAAAGGGAGGGGTCTTTCTTTACAGAATAATGCCAGCTATTAAATGTAGAAGAATAATAGAATTAGAAAAGTGTCATTTTGCAACCACCAACATAATAATTCATAAAAGGATCACCATGGATGCACAGTTGGGTATAAAAAGATGTTTGAGAGCAGGACGTTCACTGATCTCAAAGTATCACCCCAGAGATTATTTATTAATTACCAAGGGAATATATAGCTTTACAATGAAGAGATCTGGAAGATAACACCTTAAATAAAGTGATTAAACTTAGCATTATGGGCCACCTGAAGTCATGAGATAGGAAGGATACATCACCTATGTAGTATTCTTCCCAAAAATGTTTAATCTGAATCTAATCATGAGGAAACAGACAAATCCAGATCATGGGAGAATTTATAACACAACTGTCTTAGACTCTTCAAAAGTACCAATGTCATAAAAGACCAAGAAAAAGTACAGAAATGTTTTAGACAAAAGGAAACAAAGACATCACATGCAATGCCTCATCTTTGATTGTATCTGGATCAAAATCAAACAGATTTAAAGAATACTATTGGCTTCTGGAGAAGATGGTGTAACAGGGACATTGAGCCTTGTGCCTGAAACGACCAAAAATACCAGATAAAATATATTAACAACAGTTTTCAAGACATTAGACACCAGGCAATGAAGGACAGTGATCTCTGTGAGATGGGAAATAAATGGAGTGTGACCTGTGACTGCCCTAGCTTACTGCTTTGAGAGAGTTTCCAGGGCTTGGTGCAGGGAGAGGAAACTCAGGCATAGACTGATGGACTCTCTGATTAAGTAAATGGAGCTGAGAGTCTGGGAAAACCCAGATGGCTAGAATTCACAACTTGTGGAGTACTAGAGAGAAAAGAGGCACAGAGAAAGAATTCTGGGATAGGCAGAGTGATCTCCTTAGCATTCAGCGAAGTACTGATTGGTGCATGTGTGTGAGGAAACTACTTGAGGCTAGGAAAAGAACCACCCAAAAGGATTAGACAGAAGAATAATCAGATATTGCACAGGGTTAGGAATAATGCCTATTACGACAAGCTAGACTGGAAAACCTTGTGATTCATGGGGCAATGGGTACTCTTAACAAACTCAAATTCACAATGTCTAGAATCAAACAGAAAATCATCAAGCATGCAAAGGAGCAAGAAAATATGACTATATTGAAGGAAAAATCAATCAATCAAAACCAACTCAGAACTTACATGGATGTTAAAATGATCAGACCAGGACATTAAAACAGTTATTTCAAAAACTTAAAGACAAAAAATGCTAAGTAGAGGCATGGAAGATGTAAAACAGACCCAGATTGAACTAGGTATTAAAAACTACAATGTCTAGATGAAAAATACACAGGATGCAATTAAGGGCAGACTAGACACTGCAGAAGAAAAGATCAGTGAACATGACGGCATTGCAATAGAAACTACCCAAAATGAAACATAAGAAGAAACAAAACAAAACAACAACAAAAATGAACACAGCATCAGTGGGTTGCAACAACTTACATTCTGTGCCATAAAACTAATTTCAATATATGCAAAAGGACTCAAGTCATTCAATGTAGGTTCTCTCTTCTCTGACCATAATGGAATTAAATTAGAAATCAACAAGAAAGATCTGAAAAATTCCTAAATATTTAGAAACTAAACAACCCATTTCTTTTCCTTCCTTCCTTCCTTCCTTCCTTCCTTCCTTCCTTCCTTCCTTCCTTCCTTCCTTCCTTCCTTCCTCTCTCTCTCTCTCTCTGTCTCTCTCTTTCTTTCTTGCCTTTCTTTTAGACAAGGTCTAGCTCTATTGGCTAGAGTGTAGTGGCATCATCATAGCTCAATTTAATCTCAAACTCCTGGGCTGAAACAGTCCTTCAGCCTCAGCCTCCCAAGTAGCTAGGACTATAGGCACATGCCACCACACCCAGATATTTTTTCTATTTTTGATAGGCATGGAGTCTCGCTGTGTTGCTCAGGCTGGTCTTCAATTCCTGGCCTCAAGCAATTCTCTCACCTCAGCCTCCCAAAGTGCTAGGATTACAGGCATGAGACACCATGCCTGGCCTAAACAACACATTTCTACACAACCCCATGGATCAAAGAAATCAAAACGGAAATTAAAAACCATTTTGAACTGACTGAAACTGAAAACACAACAGGTCAACATGTAGGATGATGCTAAAGCAGTACTCAGTTTCTTCAGCTTCTACCTTAACAAATCAAAAAAGGAAGAGCAAATTAATCCCAGAATAAGGAGAAGAAAGGAAATAAAGATCAAAGTAAAATAAGTGAAATAAAATGAAAAACAAAAAAATGAAATCAGGCTGGGTGCAGTGGCTCATGCCTGTAATCCCAGCACTTTGGGAAGCTGAGGCGGTGAGAGGATCACTTGAGCTCAGGAATTTGACACCAGCCTGCTCATCATAGTGAGACCCCATCTCTCCAAAAAAGTTAAAAACTAGCCAGGTGTGGTGGTGCATGCCTGTAGTTCCAGTTACTTGGGAGGCTGAAGCAGGAGCCAGCAATTTGAGATTGCTGTGAGCTATGATGATGCCACTGCACTCTCGCCTGACCAACAGAGTGAGACCCTGTCTCAAAAAAAAAAAAAAAAAAATTAAAGAAATCAGTGGAACAAAAAGATGTTTCTTAGGGAAAATCAATAAAATTGATAAACCTCTAGAATGATCAAGAAGAGAGAAGACGCAAATATCAATATCAGGAATGAAAGGGACAACATCACTATAGACTTTGTAGATATTAAAATGATAATAAAGAATTATTATAAAATACTTTATACCAATAAATTCAACTCAAAACGAAATGGAAAAATTCCTTAAAATACATAAATTACTAAGGTTTACTAAAGAATCCATATGTAACTTAAGTATTACTATTAAAATAAATTGAATAGGTAGTTTAAAACCTTCCCACAGAGAAAGCTCCAATCCTATATGGATTGAATGGTGAACTAAACATTTAAGGAAAAAATAATGCCAATTCTACACAAACTCTTCCAGAAATTGAAGAGAAAGAAATACTTCCCATTCATTTATAAGGCCAGCTTTTACCTTATCAAAATTAGACAGACAAGAAAAAACTACACACCAATATCCCTCATGAACATAGAGGCAAAAATTCCAAACAAAATTTTAGCAAATCAAATTCAATATATACGAAGATAATATATTGTGATGAAGTGGTGTTTATGCCTGGAATATGCAATGTTTTTTAATATTTGAGAGAAAGAAAGAAAAGTATGTATGTTAACAATTGAATCCACATGAAGGTTTCATAGGTGTACATTGTTCTATTCTTTCATCTTTCTGGTAGGTTTGATTTGGTCAAAATATAAATTTGGGCAAAGAAGATAACCAAGATAATTGATTAGCTTATGTTGTGGTTTACTGGGGCAGTTTCAAGAAAAAGTCTCTATAACTGGAGTAAATTCTCAAGGTTACCCTTTAGCAGTATAGCATGGTGATTAAGAATACAGATTCCATAGCCAGACTAGGCTCAAATACCAGATCTGCTAATAATGTGAACTTGGAAAAATTGCTTAATCTGTATTCCTTAGCCTACTCATTATGATGGTACCTACTTCTAATAAGCTTTGAGAATCAAATGAATCAATACCTGAACAGTGCCAGGCACACAGTGAATGCTCAATACATGTTAACTGCTACAGTTGTTAACTTGTGGAGGCTGCCAGAAAAATAATAATGCTCTCCTACATTGGGTTGTTTAGGGTATTCTCTGTAACCTCCAGTAGGATTACTTTATCAGGACCACATTAGGACCATGAAAACAGAAGTGTGTTTCCTGGACACATATAAGGCAATGAGTTGGAAGTATGATATATAGAGTTTTAGATTAAAACTGCATCCAGGCTGGGCATGGTGGCTCAGGCCTGTAATCCTAGCTCTCTGGGAGGCTGAGGCAGGCGGATCGCTCAAGGTCAGGAGTTCAAAATCAGCCTGAGCAAGAGTGAGACCCCATCTCTACTAAAAATAGAAAGAAATTAATTGGCCAACTAAAAATATATAGAAAAAATTAGCCGGGCATGGTGGCACATGCCTGTAGTCCCAGCCACTCAGGAGGCTGAGGCAGTAGGATCGCTTGAGCCCAGGAGTTTGAGGTAGCTGTGAGCTAGGCTGATGCCACGGCACTCTAGCCAAGGCAACAGAGTGAGACTCTGTCTCAAAAAAAAAAAAAAAGAAAGAAACTGCATCCAATAAGTTGGCCTGATACATCTTTCACATGTATAATGGATTAATTACAGGTGACTGATGTTATTCTTTTGGGTCCAGTGGAAGCCTCTGATCTTCATATAAAAAGAAAGGACCCAGAACAGTAACCTAGCATTTTATATATATACCAACTGGAACTTTGACACAGAGTTTTTGTTATTCCTTTCCTGGCTCTAAATTTTTATTCTGAAAATTTTCAAATCTACTAAAAACTTGAAAAAATAGTATAATGATCATCTGCATGCCTTTTACCTGGATTCAATAATTGTTAATACTTTGCCACATTGGCTTTCCATGTGTGTATGTCTATATATTTTCTGGGCAAACCATTTGAGAGAAAGTTGCAGACATAATGACCTTTCACCACTAAATACTTCAGTGTGCAGCCCCTAAGAACCAAGGCATTTTTTCCTACATAACCGTGATACTATTACCACCCAAAATGAAATTTAATGTTAATATCATTGTTTACTATATAGTCCATACACAAATTTTCCCAATTGTCCTGATCATGTCATGGCATTAAAAAAAATCCAGAATATAATCAAACATCAAATATTGCATTTAATTTTCATAATTCTTTAGTCTCCTTCAGTTTAGAACTATTCCCCATCTTTTTAAAATCTTTTATGGCACTGACATTTTTGAAGCAGTAAAGCCAATTGTTTTATACAATGTTCCTCAATCAACTTGAATATAATCACAAAGGAATATTTTTAGCAAGCATACTTCATAGGAAGTATTATAGCTTTTATTACTCATTAAAATGTCTGAACTAGAAATGATACACTTAAAGAATTGTTTTAATATATACTGACAAATCTTTGAGACTGCAAATGACTTGAGATATAGATTATCCTTATTTGAGAATAATAATTTTTCAATATGCATTAAAGATCATTACATGGCTGGGCATGGTGGCTCATGCCTGTAATCCTAGCACTTTTGGGAGGCTGAGGTGGGAGGGTTGCTTGAGGCCAGGAGTTCAAGACCAGCCTAGCCAATATAGCGAGACCCTGTCTCTACAAAAAACAAAACTAAAAATAAATTAACTGGGCATGGTGGTGGATGCTTGTAGCCCCAGCTACTCAGGAGGCTGAGGCGGAAGGATTGCTTGAGCCCAGGAGTTGGAGGTTATAGTGAGCTATGATTGTGCCATTGCACTCCAACCTAGGCAACAAAGTGAGACCCTATCTCTTAAAATAAACAAACAAAAACAAACTATTATTACACGAGTTAAGACTCACATGAGCTGGCCTACTTACTTTATATATAAGTGTGTAAACTCCTGAGGACTTCCAATAATGAACTCCAATATGGCAGTTGTTTTAATCTCTTTATGGCCTTGGTGGCAAATGGCTACAGAGAATGAGAACACTTACCCTATCCACTACTGGTCAAGAAAAAAGCAGAGAGAAACCCACTACCTTGGATAACTGAGAAAGCTGGTTGATGATGAGGACTTTGACAACCCAGAGAGGAAAGCATCTACCTAATGTGGAAGACGCTGCAAGATGTTGAGAAAGATGAGGCCAGAGCAGTAAGATGGATCTGACCACATGGTGAAGATAACAGAGTGATCTGACAGAAACGACTGGAAGAGAGTGCTAAATGAAGGGCCTTTTTCCATACTAAGCTTGTGTAGTCTCCTCCCCTAGCCTTGGAATAATAGCAAGTTTTTATTTAGTTTGCCATATTGGAGCGGGTGTGGTGGCACAATTTAAGTTGCGGTAAGTTGTGAATCAAACTACCACAACAGGACCCTAAAGAAATATGTTTTACACATAAATAGAGTCATGTATCTACCACCACATGGAATAATTCTGTCACCTGAAAAAAATCTCCTCGTGCTTCCTCTTTGTGGTCAAACCCTCACCCCAGCCCCTTGCAAACACTTATTTGTTCTCTGTCTCTGCAGATTTGCCTTTTCTGGAATGTCAGATCAATAGAATCCTACAGGGTATAACCTGGAGATTGCCTCCTTCCACTTAGCATAATAGCTTTAAGATGCATCCATGCTGTTGTTTTTTGAGGCTAAATAGTATGTCATTGTATTGATGGGCCACAGTTTGTTTTACATTCACCCCTTAAAGGATATTTTGGTTCTTCTCAGTTTTTGACAATTACAAATAAAGTTACTATAAACATTTATGGTTAAGCTTTTGTGTGAACATAAATTCTCCTTTCCCTAAGGTATATAATTCAGAGTAGGGATAGCTGGGTCATGTAGTAAAGGTATGTTTGATTTTGTAAGAAACTGCCAAACTTCTAGAGTAACCATTTTTTGTGTTCTCACCAGCATTGTATGAGAGATCCAGTTTCTCTGCATCGTCACCAGTATTGGGTACTGCCAGTACTTTTTTATGTTAGCCATTCTGATTGATATGTGGTATTAGCTTTTTTTTTATTTTAATTTGCATTTCCCTTTTGTTAATGATGTTGAACATCTTTTTGTGTGCCTAATTTCTTTCCATGTTTCCTCTTTGGTGAAGTATCTGTTCAAGTCTTGCACATTTTTTAATTGAGTTGTTTTCTCACTGTTGAATTGTAAGAATTCTTTAAGTATTTGGGATGCAAATCCTTTGTCAAATATGTAATTTGTAAATGTGTTCTCCCAGTCTATAGCTTGTCTTTTCTTTCTCTTAAAAGTGTCTTTTGCAGAACAAATGTTTTTAATTTTGATGAAATATAATTTATCAAGTCTTTAAAAAAAAAAGAAATGTTTTAAAACTGTAAAAAATTGAAATACATCACAGCATACATGAAAATTAATTCAAAATGAATCATAGGCCTAAAGGTATTAATAACTATACAATTTCTGGAAAGAAAGAGGAGAAAAATCTTTGTTACTTTGGATTAGACAATGAGTTGTTTGACAAAATGTCTTAGATAAGACACTAAAAAGCACAAAGCACACAAGAAAAAAATTGCTAAATGAGAGTTCATCAAAATTAAAAACTTCTGTTCTTCAGAAAACACTTTTAATACAACAAAAAGACAAGCTACAACCTGAGAGAAGATATTTACTAAGGACATATCTATATCTGAAAGGACTTATGTCTAGAGTACAAAAAACACTCTTAAAACTAAATAAGAAGATAAATATCTAATTAAAATACAGGATCAGATTTGAAGAGGCAGTTCAGTAAAGAAGATATTTGTATATGAATAGACATTCAACACCATCAGCTATTAAAGAAATGCAAATTAAAACCACAATGAGATTCCACTATACACCTAGTAATAGTAAGGCTATAATTTTTTTCAAAAAAACCCTGAAATATAAGGATCTGCTGATGATGTGAAGCAACTGCAACTTTCACACTGCTGATGGGAATGCAAAATGGTACAGCCACTTTAGGAAACAGTTTAGCAGTTTCTTAACAAGTTAAATATGCACCTAGCATGTGATGCAGCAATCCCACCCCTAGGTATTTAAGAAATGAAAATACATGTTTCATGCATATGAGTGTTTTTAGCAGCTTTATTCATAATTGCCAAAAAATTGTAAATAACCCAAATATCTGTAAACTGATGAATGGATAAACTGATAGATCTATACAAATGGAATACTACTCAGCAATAAAAGGAAATGAACAGTTGTCCCTCAGTATCAATGGGGGATTGGTTCAAGGACTCTCTGCAGATACCAAAATCTGTGGATGCTCAAATCCCTTTATAAAATTATATACTATTTGCATATAATCTCCAGTATACTTTAAATCATCTCAAGATTACTTAGAATACCTAATACAGTCTAACTGCTATATAAATAGTTGTTATACTGTATTTTTAAATTTATGTTATTTTTATTGTTATATTATTATTTTGTATGTTTTATTTTTTCCAAATATTCCCCATCTGTGGTTAGTTGAATCTGTGGATGAGGAGAAGACCAAATGTACTTATAGATACAACAACACGGATAGTAGCATAATCTCAAAAAAATTATGGTAATTGAAAGTTGCCAAAGACAAAAGGCTACACAGTATATGATTTCATTTATAAGACAGTCTGGAAAAGGCAAAATTATAGGAACTGAAATTAGATTGGTGGTTGCCAGGGGCTGGTGGTGGGAGGAGGGGGTTGATTGCAGAGGAACATGAGAAGCCTTTTTAGGGTGACAGAAATATTCTATATTGGGAATGGGATGGTGGCTACATAACTATACATTTGTCACAACTCATGGAACTGTACACTTAAAAAGGGTGAATTTTATTACATGAAAATTATGCTTCAGTAAGCCTGACTTAAGAAAATGTAAATTACAAAACAACTAAGCAAAAATAAATTTAAGAAAAAAAGTAACTTACAGTTTTTCCAGCTCAAGAGTTGCCATAAGGATGTTCTCAATTGTTGTAAGTGGGACTTGTGTTGTTCCCAGGTCTCTGAAGGAGAAAGCCCAAGCAGTCATGATATCAACCCCAATATGAAAATTCTATACTTAAAAAGATATTTCAAGGACACATGATTACTTCAATTTTGGCTTCTCTATAAAACAAGCCAGCTCAGAGTTTGCCATTGAAAATAATTCTAGAGAGCTCTTATTGAAGAAATGTAATTATGTTCATTTGCATCATCAAATTAATGATATTGAATAACAGAACTTATACATTTTTTAATCATTATCTTCTCATTTTAGTATTGCATTCACCTCTCTTGATCATTTACTCTATTTTTTCTTTTTAAAATAGTGAATACCTATTCCTCGTTGCTTTCTAGGATAAATGATATTCCTACATGCATTTATACATTCTATATCTGTATGTGTTCTTCAACACTGCTCTCTTCCCCTGCTGGCTGTCTTGCCCATTATACATCCTTTCTTAATCTCTTTTCATTGCCAAGAACATTTTTTTCAATAAGTCAGTTAAAATTTAAATTATGACTTTTTAGCCTAAATTCAAAATATTTAAATAAATATTCAAAATATTTCATCTTTGATGCAAATAAAATATAGGAGCAGAAATCATCTCATAACTCATGAGATTACTATAATACTTACAGATATTTTAATGCTGGCAATTTAAAAAGATATGGATCTTCAACAGTAGTCAGAGGATTATGATTGAGAATTCTGAAAAAATGCAATGGAATTAAAATTACCTGCATTTTCTGTGTGCATGAAACTGCATGAAAAGTTTATATTCATTTTGTAGTATGGAACTCGTAGGTAAAAAAAAAAAAATTATTTTCTGTCTTTACCTATAAATCACCCTTAGACTCTGTAAAACACTCTTCCTTTGAGAATTACCTGCATTTCTAAAGGATAAAGTGGAGAAGAGAAAGAGAAAAAATAGAAAAAAAAGTAGATAGCAAGAAAACACTATGCCAATTATCTTCCATAATTTGAGGTGCTTGTCTTTCATCTTTAGAAATTAAAATAAATATCATGGTTTAATACATACAGTTAAGAAAGGGGGGTCTGACTCGAGTCTGACTTGAGGGGGGAGGGGGGGCATGGGCAATATATATAACCTTAACATTTGTACCCCCATAATATGCTGAAATAAAAAATAAAAATCCAATCAAATTTAAAAAAATAGAAAAAATGGACCAAATCCTTGGCTTTAGAGCTAACAAAAAAGGGATAAATCTAAGAGAACGGAACTCTCATCACATACTCACACTGGTATTCTTGTATCACATCACAGCCTTTGTTACTTTGCACGTAATCACCTGTTAACTTGTCAGTCTCCTGGACTGTCAGCTCCTTGAGAGCAGGGACCACACCTTATTGTCATTCTCATACACATGCCTGGCACACTGCCTGAAATTTACTAGGTATTTAATAAATGTTTGTTGAAAAATAACATTTTGTTTAAATATCAGTAAAATGAATACATTCATTTTTTGATGCAAATTTTATTCCAAAATGCTGGAACAGACTTCCTTTTCAATTCTTTAAAGCAAGCAAACAAACAAAAACAAAACAAAAGAAATAGGAAGGAAGAGAAGAAAATCTGCCCTTAGGTTAACTCTACTCAAGAATAATCAGTATACTACAGAACATTATAAAAATAACAATTATTACAACTGATATTTATTGGGCTGCCAGGCACTTGTGATTAGTATTTCACATTTAAGTCTCACAGTAAGCTTACATGGTAGATGTTATTATCTCACTTTATAAATGAGGAAACTGAGGCACAGAGAGGTTATATAACTTGTCCAAGATCACCAAGCTAGTTAGAAGCAAAGATGGAATTTAAACTCACTTCTGACTACAAAACCTGTGTTTATCTTCTATGAAGAAAAGAGGTTTAAAATAGCTGTTATTTTAACTTTAATTCTGAGAGAACTAAATATAAAATGCCTTTTCAAACTTTATCCTCTCATCTGGGAGAAACTCTTGAGAATTACATTTCTCTTTTTATTCATTTTTCCTAATCACTTCCTGTGATTAAATATTTAATTAGCCTGTGGTCATTGAGTCTTTAGAAATTCAAAACCATGTTGTAGGTAACATCAGTAAAAATGGTGGAGTAAAGCCATCTGAAAATTCATCCCTTCATAAAAGCAACAACAAAAAATATGGCAAAAGTGTCCAGAATCAACTTTTTCAGAACTCTGGAAATTTGCCTGAAGGCTTGCAGCAACCCAAGGAGAATTTATTTAGGAAATATGGCTGACTTTCTGTAAGAACAGTGAGATTTGTGTTGTTTCAGCTTGCCCTAGACCATTTCTTGCTCCCCAGCTCAGGAGTAGCCTTGAAAAATAGCCCTTCAGTACCAGAGGGAGCAGAATGGAGCTGGAGCTCCTTCAAAACCTCATCCCCAATGTACTGTCATTATTTGACCTATCTGGTGGTTCCATGGTGGTTTCTGGTGGTTTCTTTATTTGACCCAACTATGAGCTGTCAAGTGCTAAAAGCCTCTCCCCAGAGGGTGTCTGTGGAAAACAATTACAGGAAAAGTGTTTTAACATCACAGGTCCCTGAGGCAATAGACAAAAGTTGGGACCAAAAAAATAGCCTTAATTAAAAACCTTGATAGAAAAGGCTGAGGAATAAGATGTCTATAGGAACTTTGAAACACTCCAACATATCCTTGGGAAACTGGAAGGCCATGAGACATATTCTTGGGAATCTGGAAGGTCGTGTACAGGTTTAGGACTATCAGGAAAGACCTGAGAAATCCCTAAACTCTCATCTCTGGCTGATCCTGAGGTTCTGCACAAGCAGTAAATGAAAGCTAAGGCAGAGCTGTAAACTATCTTGCTGAGTGCTGAAGTTATGCCCTAACATGCACATGATGAACACAAAATGTATAAAGACATAATATGTGATAATAACAGTATAATGGGAGATGTGAGAGTAGAGCTTTAGAGAAGCAAAGTTTTTGTATACTATTGAAATTAAGTTGGCAGTAATCTGAACTAGAATGTTATAAAATAAGATTAAATTACTAGAATGTAATCCTAGGGCAACCACTAAAAAAAATTTCAAAAATATATAGTAAAAGAAATAAGGGAATTGAAATGGTACACTAGAAAATATCTATTTAACACAAAGAATGCAATAATGGAGGAAGTGAGAAATGAAAAAGACGAAAGACATAGAAAAAACAAATAGCAAAGTGGCAGATGTAGATCCTACTTTATCACTAATTACATTAAACATAAATGGATTAGACTCTTCAATTATAAGGCAAAAATTGGCAGAATGGATTTTAAAGAACATGATCCAACTATATGCTATACAAAAACCTCACTATTTCACCATCCATGAACCGTGTGCTAAAAAAAAGAAAGAAAGAAACTCACTTTAGATTGAAAGACACAAATAGGTTGAAAGTAAAAGGATGGAAAAAGATATATACAATGCAAACAATAACCAAAAGAAAAGCTGGAGTGGCTGTCATAATAACAGACAAAATAGACTTAGCACAAAAATTGTTGCTAGAAACAAAGGTGGACTTTTATAATGACAAAAGACTCAATCCATTGAGAAGATAAAGTGATTATAAATATATACGCATCTAACAACAGAGCCCCAAAATACATAAAACAAAAACTGACATAATTTAAAAAAATAGATAATTCAACAGTAGTAGCTGGAGACTTCAGTACCCAACTATCAATAATGGATTGAACAACTAGAAGACGATTAGCAAGGAAATGGAAGACTTGAACAACTATAAACTAACTAGACATAAGAGACATCTACAAAACACTTCCCAATATTAGGAACATTAAAATAGCAAAAGACACATTCTTCTCAAGTGCACATAGAACATCCTCCTGGATAGACCATGTTAGATCATAAGACAAGTCACAATAAGTTTAAAAAGACTAAAATCATACAAAATAGGTTCTCCAAACATAGTGAAATGAAATTAGATATCAATGACAAAAATAAATTTGGGAAATTCACAAACATGTAGAAAGTAACATATTCCTAAATAACCAATGGGCCAAAGAAGAAATCACAAGAGAAATTAGAAAATACTTTGACATGAATCAAAAGGAAAATACATAAGCCAATACTATGGGATGCAGCTAAAACAATGCTCACAAGGAAATTTATAGATATAAATGCAGATGTTAAAAGTCTCAAGCAAATCACCTAAGTTTCCACCTGAAGAAAATGGAAAAGAAAAAAACTCAGTTAACTGAATGCAAATCAAGAGAAAGGAAATACTGAAGATTAGAGCAGAAATAAATGAAATAGAGAATAGAAAAACAATAGAGAGAATCAACATAATCAAAAGTTGGTTCCTTGAAAATATCAACAAAACTGATAAACCTTTAGCTACACTGACCAAGAAAAAAAGAGAGAAGATTCAAATTATTTAAATCAGACATGAAAGAGGAGACATTACTACTGTCCTCACAGACACAAAAAGGGTCATAAGGGAAAACCATGACCAATTGTTTGCCAATAAATTAGGTAGCCTGGATGAAATATAGAAAGGTTACAAACTACTAAAACTGACTTGAGAAAAAAAATAGACAACTGACATTAGGATCCTGCATTTGTCCCTAGTGAAATCAAAACATGGGGCCACTCCATTTTATTCTATTTCTTCCTCCTGTTGTAGAGCTTTTTTTTTTTTGAGACAGAGTCACTCTGTTGCCAAGGCTAGAGTGCCATGGCATCAGTCTAGCTCACATGCACCACCATGCCCGGCTAATTTTTTCTATATATATTTTTAGTTGGCCAATTTATTTCTTTCTATTTTTAATAGAGACAGAGTCTCGCTCTTGCTTAGGGTGGTTTCGAACTCCTAACCTTGAGTGATCCACCCGCCTCAGCCTCCCAGAGTGCTATGATTATAGGCCTGAGCCACCGAGCAAGGCCAAGCATTCTTTTTTTCACTATGTTTGTGCTGGGACAATGGAGAGAATGAAAGGGTACTGACTCAACTTTGAAACTCAAGTCTGGGGATGCTACAGCAACTCTTTTCCACAAACCCAATGATGTTTTTAGATTCATAGTGGACTATCTTAGATCATTTCCATTTCTGGTTCAATCCCTCATTTTACAGACAAATTAAGGTGCACTGACACCTAATCTACTGCCTTTTTGATATCTTTACAGGAGTAAAATGTGGCAACCTTTTTATTCGCTTCGAAGTTTAAGAAATATCACTCTAAATGATTTTTTAAAATATACCTTATTAGAAGAGGAAACTCAAATATTTCTGTATTAACCTTTTGCTGTAGAACAATGAGACAAAATAAAAACAGCTCACAAAATAAGCAAACATTTCTTACCTGTTATTTTTTTTTCTCCAAATTCTTCTATACAGTCCAGACAGATGGGCTACATTTCCTTTCTACTAACTGAGGAGACACAGAAGACTTGAGGACTGAAGCATGTCATCGCTGTCCTGAATGTACTGAAATCTTAACAGCTTTAGCTGAAAAAAATTTCCAAAGCAGGCAGTGAAAATAAATTTTAAATAGGACACACTCCAAAACTATGTATGCTAGGATCCCAAGGGAGGCAGGGAAAACTGGTTCCTTGGAAGAAGGTAGTCAAAGAACTAAGCAGAGTGACCTAGACCCTGTTCCGGTATGTTTGAAGTACTTGGGGGTGGAGTAACCCATTTCCTTCATTCATCCCCACAGCTCCATGAGCCATGAGCACGTCTCCAGCGCGAAGCTCCTCAATACAAGACCTCTGCATCACGTGAACCCTTTCTCAGGGGCAAAGTCTAAAGAATATGAAATGGTAAGTCTGTATTTTATCTAAGTTCTGAGAATAGCCTTGGAGAGGACTCCTTGGCAGTGAGGAACAACAGAAGCAGCAAGGGCCCTGGAATCAAGCAGACTTGGGTTTGAATTCTGGCTCTGTCACTGTCTGGTGAAGTGACTTGAACAGTGAATATCTCTGAGCCTTACTGAGTCACGTTCATCTCACAAGGCAGGTTGGGGGTTAAATGAAAGTGCATGTGAAGGCACCTAGCACGGGGCTGGTCACAGTGCCTGTTTCAGCAGTGATGATGTCTTGCCTGCACTGGCCAGCGCGCAGCAACCCTGGGGATGCCCAGTGGCCATGCAGCCAGGAGCTCCACAAACGTGGAACTCTCAGAGGGAAATGCAGCTCTCTGCTCTAAATGTCCTATCAAGTTAAAAACTAATTTTAAGATAAAATACACCAAAAGGCAAATGGTCATGATTCAGCTCCTATGACAAGGGAATGAAGAGCAGTATCTAAAATTACTTGCAAAGCTTGTAAGTGGTTCTACCACTTAACTAAAAGATGTGAACCTAGGCAAGTTATCTGATGTCTCTGAGTTTCAACTTCCTCATCTGCAAAATAGGAATAATAATATGTACATCACAAGAGTTGTTGGGAACATGAAAATGAGATATCATAGGAGGCAACATGTATCAGTGTTTATCATGTGCCAAGCACTATTCTAAAAACTTCAGGCATGTTATCTCACTTATATAAGAACTTAGGTGCCTGAAACATAAACATTACCTATTAAAGTTATGGGGAAGAGGAAGAAATAACTAAGCTTCCAAGAGAAGAGAAGATAGATTGTTATATAGGTGGGAAGAATAAGATGCAGCTGGGAGAAGAAAAGTATAATAGTTGCTGGGTGTGACAATCTCAAAACTTTTGAACCATTACAAATTAAACAGCCATGCTCAATCACCCCAAAGGACAGGCATGAATTGTTATTTTCATCTTTAATGTCTATGCCTCTCTGAATCTGAGAAGAAGCTGCCAGGATTCCAGTACATACCAAGATGTGATGACAATACCCTGAAGTGTGTAAGCTTTTGTGCATCTACAGCCATGCAGAGGGAGCTGATGTTAGTGGACTGGGGTCAAGGAGGGCAGTAATTCAATAGGGATAAACGTTGGATTTTCCTCTTATTCCTAGTGCTTCCATTCTTGGCCCAATGTCGATGTGCCACAGACAGGTCAGCATGTGAATGGGCTCTATCTGCATAAGCCTTTCTGCATGGTAGAGTCAGTTTCCAAAACCATGGAGCTTGTATTATTAGAACCAGTGAAGTGACTAAAAGAATTTTTAAAAATAAGCCATCAGTCTGGACCTGTGTAGGCAAATGAAGGAGAAGCACTTTAAAGTCAGGAAAAAGAAAGTATATTTAACATTTAGGATTATCAACCACTGCTGATTTTCCACTAAATATTTCATCTGAAAGAAATACGATTATTACTATCATTTAAAGAGTAGCACTTTACTAATAAGCTCTTGGTGTGTCTTTGAGGTGGATTTCAGATTCAAAATAGACTGACCCTATATCACACTGCTGACTTGTTTACTCAGTGTTTGTCAATAACATAGAGGCTTCACCCAGGAGATTTGCTGGGTTGTGATTACCTGGAACCCAGGGATGATTCCAGGTTTTGTGAGGCTTGAACCTTATCTAATTTGAGAAATCCCCTCTGATAAAAACACACAAACTTATGAATCCAAAAACTGCTAGGGCCCCTCCCAGGACGCTGGAAGGTGCCAGAGCAAGTGAGGAGCCCTGCAGCTTAGGCTCCATTCAATTCATGATAAATCCACCACAGCTGGGGCCTTTTTACAAACTTCTGCAATGCTGGGAAAAATACTGCTTCAACTTGTGAACACCCCAGAACTGCATCATGTTGGTCATGAAATTACTGGCATCTTCCTTTGGCAACTGGCCTTTGGAAAGAGATGCAATAGGCTTATATCTCACTACAGCAAATTAGCTTTGTCTATTAGAAAAATTTGACCCAAAACAAAGGAGCGCCGCCCCCAACACATGCTTGGTGTACTGTGACCGTTGTGCCAATCTCTGAAAGTAACTGTGAACTAGTTGGAGGGGTATAGCTCTATTCAGATCCCCTAATAGGAGCATTAATTTCTAACACCAGCTAGCTCTGGTTTTTTCATCACCGTGAAGCAAATGCCTTTTTCTGTTTTGTAAGGTTAACACACAAACTCGAGATAAACAAGTTGGTGCCTCCTCCCTTGTGAGTCTTTCCTAACCCACGCCCCAATTCTTGTGCTGTCCCTTCCCCTACTTTGTCACCCTGCTGTATAGACCCCAGTATGGCTCTCATGTTTTCTCATCGACATCCCTCTTTCTCCTTCTGATATGAAAGCCTCTTGGGGACAAAGAGGCATTGTCCTATTCCAATTTATACCCCCAGCACTTAGTATCATACCTGGCACACAGCAGGCATGGCACTCAGTAATTTTTATCAATGTGATTCCATGGGTTGTTTTTTGTTTGTTTCTGGTTTTTTTTTTTGGTGTTGCCTACATAGAGTGAAACTTGGGTTCTTATGAGGGACTCTCAGTGTTTTAAAATGTTCAGTAAAGATGGCGAGTTTAAGACATTTGTATTGACGCCGCCTAAACCTCTTGGTGGAGGGATCTAATGAGTCTGCCCTCTGGTGTGAGGGCAAACAAGAAACAGACCCATAGTGTTCTTCCCTAAGTGAGGCATCAACAAATTAATAAGGGGAGAGAGGAGGCCCCTAAACATGGACGTCTGCAAAAACTGCTAATCCAGCTCCAGACACATCCTAAACCTGTTCCTCTAGCCCAAAATGAACTGTGTGAAATTAAAATTCTGAACCACAAGACAGGTGGATAGTCTTTTCCAACATAAGGTTTAGAGGAGGACCTTCACCATGAGTCTAAAATCCCCTTCAGGCCATTGAACGTACCCACTATGATTTGCTTGTGTCACAGAGAAATCATAAAACTTTTGAGCTTAAAGGGAATAAAACCCACACTTCTTGTTGAAGAGTAGTCAAGAAAGAAAGTATATGGAATTAAACTAGAGCAATGTTTTTTCTTTATGAATGTTTTTTGCACTATAGCCCTAACATAAATATCATCTTTTCCTACACTGCAAAGGTTCCTATTGCCCACAGATAATTCTTAACTTCATAGGTATATACTTTTTGAAAAATAATGTTCTGGGTGATTGGGGATAAAAGTGCCCTGTGGCAGGTTTTCAGGAATTCTTTCTGCTTTACCATGTAAAAAACTGACATTGAGAAAGCATCTGCATTTTTTGCTCCCTGGAGGACTTCTGTTAAGCTTCTTTCTTTATGGCTATATGTTGCACACATTTCAGCAGTTAGAAACTCTGCACATGAGCAGGAATCATAGTCATATTCAAAAGGAGGATTTCAAAGACAATTCATGTAACAGAGCAGCATTGTTGGGGCTCTCATGACAAAGCTAATTTGAACATTATTTGCTTGCTCTCTTTTATTGCCCAAACCAAAGACCAGTACTGGGGAAAGCAGAGCCTGTCACATGTAAGTTACACAAGTCTCTTGGTCTCTTTGTACCTTAGTTTCCTCATTTGAAAAGAATGAATGGATCTTAAGACATACTTTTCAGAGTTCATGATGAACTTATACCCAGTTAACCAAAAACTGTATGTGCTTATACATATAAATAGTTTTTTTATTGTGTTCATCTAATTCACTTACAACTTGTGTAAAAATTGCATTCCATGCCAAGCTTGAAATGTTCCAAAGGTCAGTTCTGTGAGTAAATTGCAACCGAGATTTCTAGAAAAGAAGAGAGAGACAAGCCAAAGAAGAAGAAAAAAAGATATTGTTTCAAAACATTTATCATTTGGCAGTGATCCTAATTTATATATGATGAAACATGCCCTCAATACTTTCTCCATACACTAAAGAAATCTTACTGTAGAAGATACTGGCTTATGATTTATACTTTCATATTTACACATGCAGTGCATTAGGTACAAAACAGTGAATGCTCAACAAATGGTTGTGTTAAGAGATCTTTATTTCTTTAGAACAGAGTTTTACAATTTCAGTGCTGTTGACATGTTGGCCGAGTAATTCTTTGTTGTGGGGGTTTGTCCTATACATTGCAGGTTGTTTAGCAACATCCCTGGCCTTTGCCTCCCAGGTGTCAGTAACATACCCACAGTTGTGACAAACAAAAATGTGTCCAGGCACTGCCAAAATGTCAGCTGGGTACAAAATCACATTGGTTGAGAACCACTGTTCTATAATGATTCACTCTGATCTGTGTAATAATTCTCACACTAATATTTGCTAGAGATGAAAAGGATTTGCTATATAATTTTAGTAACTTTCTACTAGTAAAATTTTAATATTTCAAAATGAATAGCAAGGAAGTTACAATAAGTTTAATAAAAATTCCAAATATAATGAAGTTATATTTATAACTTACAGAAACTCCAAAAATGGTAGTGATTCAAATGCTCCTCTTTCAATAAACTGGATTTTATTGCAGGATAAATCTCTAGAAAAAGGAAGATATTTATTTGATTAGCCATTAGATAGTAAATTAGCAGGAACAAATAGCAGAGTTTAGAATGATAATATTGAGGCCAGGCGTGAGCCCTAGCACTGTGGGAGGCCAAGGCAGGCGGATTGCTGGAGGTCAAAAGCAGCCTGAGCAAGTTCACATCTCTACTAAAAATAGAAATAAATTTATTGACCAACTAAAAAATATATATACAAAAAATTAGCTGGGCATGGTGGCGCATGCCTGTAGTCCCAGATACTCGGGAGGCTGAGGCAATAGGATCATTTAAACTCAGGTTTAAATTGAGGTTGCTGTGAGCTAGGCTGATGCCACGGCACTCACTCTAGCCTGGGCAACAAAGTGAGACTCTGTCTCAAAAAATAAAAAATTTAAAAATTAAAAAAAAAATCAGAATGATAATATTGAATATGTACATTTGTCTACACTGTAAACTTTTAGATTTGTGTTAGAACTTTCCAGAGCCCCTAATCATGCCTCTACCTCTTCTAGAGTCTCACCTTCATGATTTTCATAAATATTTTTTATTTAATTTTATTTTTTTTTTTTTTAGAGATAGTGTCTCACTCTCACTCAGGCTGGTCTTGAACTCCTGAGAGCAAACAATCTTCCTGCCTCAGCCTCCCAGAGTGCTAGGATTACAAGCGTGAACCACTGCACCCCCCCCCCAATTTTCATAAATAAAATATACAACTATAGATCTTGATAGATTTTAGATGTAATCTTTCCCTAGAGTAGGAGACTTGATTAGGTGACATTCTGTAGTCTCATCAAATTCTAGATTATGAGCTTAAAATTTTTAATCTTTCTATATAATTTCTAATATGAAAAGGAATGATCTCATATTTATATATCTTCCTGGTTTAATTCTGATTTTCTAAGCCAGTTCAATATGAAAAGAAATAAAAGATATCTTTTCACATCATTTGAAAGGAAATTACTTCTCTAACATATAACTTTGAACTAATTCAGAATTATACCATATTAATAGAAATTCATGTTTGTTTTATATTACTTTAATATTCCACTAAAGCAACTTATTTGTTGTACAGTGATGGGACAACAAAAAACAACATGAAACTGGATTTTTATTTGAAAACACCCATTCTTGACTACAATTGACTATTTCTGTTGATTCTAGCTTGCCCCTCACTCTTCACCTGGCTGGTGTAACTCTGTCTGACTGGTATCTCCATCTGTAGTCTCTTGCTTTCTAAACTGTCCTGCACACAGTCACCAGATGAACTCTACAGAAGTGGTTCTCAAAGACTAACACCTGGGAATTCATGGAAACTGCAAATTCTCTGCCCTACTCTAAATTGATTGAATCTGAAACTGTGGGGGTGGTGTCCAGAACCAAGGCCAAACAAACCCTCCAAGCACTTGTCAGGCAGGCTCACCGTGGTCTTCAGCACTGCTAGTATAGCATGGTTCCCCATCATGGCTCCTTTGCTTGGCATTCAAACCCTAGAAAATCTGGCTCCAGTCTCCTACTGTCCCTCCTTGTAATCTACAGGTGCTCATGGCATTCCTCAAATACTTTCCTGTGTTTTGCCTTTCTCCCGTTTTCCAAGTTTAGACTATTTTCTCCAAGATGTCTGTCTAAGGATACTCAATGGCCCTTTGAGGTCCTGTTCTAACAGCATTGCTCTAGTAGCATCTTCTTTGATCCAAACTGAAGTCCTTTCTCCCTTTTCTGTGCTCCAGAAGCAATTTCTCTCTCTCAGTACCCATATCTATTTCTTCTTTTTGATATAGTTATTTTTGCATCCCATTTCTTACTACGTCTTGCTCATCTGCATGGCCTGCCATGTTTAAAACTGACACATAAAAATAAAGCAAACTCAAATGTTTATAAAATGAATAGCTGAGGAATGAGCGGCAGAAGAAAAGTAACTGTTTTAAAAGAAATATAATTTTATTATTTGCGGCCCCTCTTCTGCACGTCTGCAGCACTTTGTCATCTACTTAGTGCTTATTGCATTATGGTTTGAGCTTGTTTGTTTGTTTCCCCTGTGAGACTTTAAGTTCTTAGAATGGTAGGAACCCTGTCTTACTCATCTCTCTGCATTTAATATTAGGCACAGTGCTTGGCATTTTCTTTCTTACCTTTTTTTATTGATTGGCATCTTTTAAGTGAATGAGAATATGTATGCTAATGTGAAATAATTAGCTTACAAAGTATTTCATAGTGGAAATAATAAAGGGCCTACTCTATTGAGCAATTAACTTATTTGCTTTTTTCCAAATGTGGCAGAGATGCCCAAGAAGACCAATACAAAAGTGGTCATCCCCTTAAAGCCTAGAAGGTTTGATAATTCAAAGGACTATTTTTAGTGTCATGTGAAGCCTTCCTTTAAGGCTTCTACATTTGAAAGAAGAATCTATTTGTGCAAGAGCATCATTAATTAGCTTAATAAGGATTAATGATGTACATACTTCTGGACCTCAGGGTCAAAGGATAAGAATCAAACTTTAATAGCAAAGAATATAGTATCTTCTTATCTCTGAACAGATAGAAATACTATGCAAGTATTCCCTCCTTAGCAACAAGGCTGGAGAGATTTTTAGTTTGCAATTAGTGAAGAATTAGGAGCATTTCTGATATGCTTACTTAGTGTAAACATTTCTAGCTATACTACTTACCCATCATTATAAACAACCATGTTTAATATAACAATTCCTACAATGAAATCCTTAATACCAGTCTATTCTCTGAAATATATTTTAATATTCTTGATATTATTCATATTAATATAATTCATTTTATTTAATATTTAAATGTTAATTTAATTCATATTAAATTATCAAAACATTCTGGATTCATGGCATTCAAACTAGTATAGATGGTCTATATTTTCCTTCCTTTTAGGCAACGACTTGAAGTTAACTTTAATTCCTCTCATTTTACTGAACCAACTTTTTCAAATCTTTTTCTGAAGACTAGAGAGTGAATATTTTAGGGTTTGGGGGCCACATATGGACTCTGTTGTATATTTTTGTTTCTTTTCTTTTCTTTTTCTTTTACAGCCCTTTAACAATGTTATCCATTCGTTACTTACGGGATGTATATAAAAACAGACTGTGGGGCTGGGTGCGGTGGCTCCCACCTATACTCCTAGAACTCTGGGAGGCCGAGGCGGGAGGATCGTTTGAGCTCAGGAGTTCAAGACCAGCCTGAGCAAGAGCGAGACCCCATCTCTACTAAAAAAATAGAAAGAAATTAATTGGCCAACTAAAAACTATATAGAAAAAAATTAGCCAGACATGTTGGTGCATGCCTGTAGTCCCAGCTAGGGCAGGCTAAGGCAGAAGGATTGCTTGAGCCCAGGAGCTTGAGGTTGCCGTGAGCTAGACTGATGCTATGGCACTCTAGCCCAGGCAACAGAGTGAGACTCTGTCTCAAAAACAAAAACAGACTGTGGATTAGATTTGATCTATGGGTTGTAGACTAAATATAAATATAAGCAGATGGTATATGAACACTTAGAAAACAAGGTTCATGTGTGTGTCAATAATTGCTCAGATCTTATTACCACTTTTTACCTATAAGTGAAGTTCCTTTCTATCTGTACCTTGTCTATATGATTTCAAAAACTGAAAATGCATAAGAAGTATCTAATGCTAGAGATAGGCTAAAACCCTATACAGATTTAGAGTACTGCAGAATTTTATTGCTGGAAGAAATTTTAGAGATTATCTAATTTGAATCTCTTACTCATTTTATAGATAGTATTACTAAAAGCTCATAAATAAATATGATTAACTAACTAACTTACAAATACCGGAGGGATAGCAGGCCTTCAAATGAATCTTTATGTAATTCACTCAAATGATTTTCTCTGAGAATTCTGAAAAATGAAAAGGTTATTTCTGGATCAAAATGCAAGCTAGCAACAACTATTTGCTACACAGGACTAACTCCTATCTGTGGAGGAAACCTGGGTCATGGTGCCACCCGAATGCTCTACTTCTGATTTAATTTCAAGATGGCAATGTCTGCTCTGTTTTCAAACCTTTTTTCACGTTCTCCTTTTTGTGTCCATCTCTCTCCACCACACACACACACACACACACACACACACACACACCTTCCCACTCTTCCCACCAAATTTATATTTAATGCCTACTCTTCTCTAGATCACAAAGTCCCTGTTAGAACTCAACTTTGGGTAGCACGCCAAGATCAGCAGAACTGCCATTTCCTCATCTCTTTCCCTATATATTATTATAAAAGCCCCACATAGACCTCTGTCAGGGCCACAAGTAAAGCCATTAGGTTTTTTCCCCCATTAAAAAACTTTTTTGAGAAATACAATGGGCATAAAATGCACATAACATAAATGTTCAGTTTTAAAGTTATAAAGCAGATACCCATGTAATATCATGTCAGGAAATAGCACTGGGAGCATCCAGAAGCCCTGGGGTACCCTTTCAGATCACAGCCCTCTCTCTAACCCCTACAGGTAACCACTCTCCTGATTTTTATAGCAATTTCCTTGCTTTTAACATGTAGTGTCAGCCATAAGCAACATCCTTTAGTTTGCCTTTTCTTGAATTTTATGTAAACGGAATCATATTGCACATATGACTTTCTATCTTGCCTCTTTCACTCAACATTCTGTTTGTAAATTTATGATGATGTTGCATGTAGCTGAGTTTGGCTCCTTTCAGTGCCTGTATGGCGTGTCCCATAGGTCACCACTAGCTACATGTGGTTCCGGAGGACTTCAGTGTGGCTAAGGGTGACTGGGGCAGTAATTTTAATTATTTTTAAATTTAAACGCTGATACTCGATGCAGTTATTAGAAAACATTTAAGTGCGTTTGCAACAACATGGGTATAGGATGCTACTTTTTAAACTGCATATTCTATGAAATCTAAATATATATTAAGTATTTTTGATGAAAATTCAGCAACCAAATTTAAATTTCAAAAGAGTATGGAAAAAATAATGTAAACTCTCTAAATAATAATTTTAGACTGATTATATATTGAAATGATAATACTTTGGATATTTTGAGGACTTAGGATAAAAAAAGAATAGAATATTTTGTTAATATACATAATGATTACATGTTGCAATGATAATATTTTAGATATATGGATTAAATAAAATACATTAATGTTTGTTTCACATGTTTGTTTTAACTTTTATTTTTTAAGTGACTACCAGAAAATTTAAGATTACATATGTGGCTCACATCATGTTTCCACTGAATAATGCTGCTTTAGGGTATTTCATTGTATCATTATACCACAATTTATTTATTCATCTACTGTTGATGAATATTGAGATTTTTCTAGTTTTTAGTTATTACAAACAATGCTGCTTTGAACATTCTTGTACATGTATTCCAATAACACTTTTGCCTGAGTTTCTCTAGGATGTAATAGGAGTGCAAAATTGTTTTCCTAACAGATTTTGCTATTTCAAGTTGGTAGATAGAGAACATGCCAAGTCTCTACCCCTCCAACCTCCACCAAATCCCTAAAAATGATAGAATAGATATAATTTACAAATTCACAACCTTAACTCAAAACTCACAAGCAGCTTTACAAATTCTCCCCCATCAGAAATGCCCTGGAGCCATCTGCAGGGTTATTGGTTGGGAAACTACAGTAGGAGCAGCCAGAGGCACATCAACCCCATATACTTCCTCCTTGGACCAGGCAGCAAAGGTGTCTTCCTCCAGACAGGAGCAATTGGTGTTAAAAGGGGGCAGAGTCCTGGAACCCTGGAGGAAGGGCACACACTCCCTTACTAGGTGCTTCCCACCCCTTCTTTATTCTCAGGAGAATCTACCTGTAACACAAGTCCCAGCATGTCATTTCACCTGTCTCCTGCAACTGGAAAACAGAAGCAACAGAATTTCAACTACAAAGATGAATTACATTCAGGAATGACCAAACAACAAGAAAAAGCCAACTCCAGTAAAGACAGAAAGCAAACTCAAACAACAAATTAGTTAACAGAGAAAGCACGAGAGGACTTTAGAATAGCAGCATTAATATCTGCAGGCAGAGGTAAGCAGATAGTTTATCCACGAAAAGGAATCGACTAAAGATTATACAAATATAAAGTGTTATTAATAAAACACTCAATATATGGGCTGACCATGGTGGTCCATGCCTGTAATCCCAGCACTTTGGGAGGCTGAGGTGGGAGGATTGCTTGAGGCCAGGAGTTTGAGACCAGCCTGAGCAAGAGCAAGACCCATGTCTATAAAAAAATAGAAATATTAGGCAGGTGTGGTGGCATGTGCCTATAGTTCCAGCTACTTGGGAGGCTGAGGCAGAAAGATCACTTGAGCCCAGGAGTTTGAGACTGTAGTGAGACCACTATATTCTTGCCTGGTTGACAGAGTAAGACCCTATCTCAAAAAAGAAAAAAAAGGTTATCATTTAAATAAAAGCACAAAAACTTTAATTCCCAAAAAACTCTTAGAACCCTGAGAATGCATCAGATTCTGTCTGACCTCAATTGAAATCCAACATGTTGTAAGGAATGTAAGGAACAGTGATGGTCAGAATACATGAGAAGGAGAACCAAGCAATTTGACTTCTCACCTTGGTTAGCTAACAGTTTCACATTTCCATGGAAATGTCCAAAAAGGAAAAACAAATCAATGTGTCCAACAATGTTTATAGTAACCCTCTTAATAACTATAAAATGTTGACAAAACCCTACCTCTCCATCACATAACAAAACTGTATTGATATGCTACAGACGATATACAAAAAAGACATAAGAAATGATAGCAAATGAAATAAATCAAGACAAAAATGAAATATTAATTTTAACTTAAAAAATTCAAATAATGGAGTTTGTTTCTGCAAAGTTGTCTGGATGACAGGACAGTAAAAATTTTAAAAGTCACAATAAATTCAGCTTAGAAGGAAAGTTTACACTGAGAAGTGGGTTAGTCATCAAAAGATTACCCTAAAAACGAGCTTGAAATAAGCAACTGGAATCAAATACATTAATTTATTGAATTCCAAATATTCATTTTGATTGAAGCAAAAATTTTAAAACTATAGGGAATCAATCAGATATTTCCAGATCAAAAATTTTTTCAAACCATGACAATATCAAAACCAGGCCTAAACTAAAATTTAACATCCATGTTTTGTATTTTTTTTTTTGAGACACAGTCTCACTCTATTGCCCAGGCTAGAGTGCCATGGCATCAGCCTAACTCACAGCAACATCAAACTCCTATGCTCAGGCAATCCTCCTGCCTTAGCCTCCCAAGCAGCTGGGACAATAGGCACACGCCACCACACCTGGCTAATTTTTCTATATTTACTAGAGACAGGGTCTGGCTCTTGCTCAGGCTGGTCTCAAACTCCTGAGCTCAAGCGATCCTCCTGCCTCGGCCTCCCAGAGTGCTAGGATTACAGGCATGAGCCACCACACCCTGCCTATACATCCATGTTTAACTCCTGACCAAGGCAATCTTCTGAACTTCACAATATTAATTCTTGATTCTGTATAATAGACAATTATCCTTCCCCCTGTCTTGTAACTTTTAGGAAATTCAGAGAACTCAAGGGTTTATTTGGGTTTAAATATACATATAATGCAAATGGTAGGCCATTCTGAAATTGATTGACTCTCCTTTCCCTCCTTTCTCTCTCTTTTAATCACTTATCAGGACTTGAAATTATATCTATTATATTTATAAATTTATTTGTATATTTATAAGCCCCTTGAGAACTGGGATATTTGGTTTGTTTTGTTCCTGGACCTGTATCCCTGGCACCTACAACAGTTCCTGGCACATAGTAGATGCTCCATAAATATTTGTTGAATGAATGAATGAAGCGACAGATATCAATTTTCATATTTACTACTTTTATTTAAAATAAATCATCCATTTATTATTATTCATGATGCTAAGTACAGCTTTGCAGGAAAAGAAATGTCTTTCTTCTCCCCTACATTTGTAACTCAATCTTGTATGAGATAAAACCTTTTGAGAATCTCTTAAGAGCTATGGATCCTTTTCCCAAAAATCTGCACTTTCCTGAATATATGCAAAAATATGTATGTAATTTCCATTTGTGGATCACCCCTTTAGGGCAGAGGTCCATGAAAAGAACAGATTCGGCCAGGCCTGATGGCTCACGCCTGTAATCCTAGTACTCTGGGAGGCCGAGGTGGGCGGATTGCTCAAGGTCAGGAGTTCCAAACCAGCCTAGCAAGAGTGAGACACCGTCTCTACTAAAAATAGAAAGAAACTCATTGGCCAACTAAAAATATATAGAAAAAATTAGCCGAGCATGGTGATGTATGCCTATAGTCCTAGCTACTCGGGAGGCTGAGGCAGGAAGATTGCTTGAGCCCAGGAGTTTGAGGTTGCTGTGAGCTAGGATGACACCACAACACTCTAGCCCGGGCAACAGAGACTCTGTCTCAAAATAAAAAAGAAATAAAAAAAACAGATTGAATTCAGGGGGCCAACCTGAATGGGAAGTAAAATTACATCTCTATTTCCACAAATAGAAATTCAGTTTCAATGATGATATGACACATAAACTGTTGTGAAATGCCAGTTAATTACTTTGCATGTATTTTTTTCCAAAATCATTTATGTGCATAAACTGATTCCTTTGACAAATCAGTAAGAAAATGATAAAATGATTCAACATTAAAAATGGACAAAGGACAGAAAACTCAGAGAAGAAACACAAATGTTCAATAAACATATAAAGATATTTAAATTGACAAATAATCAGAAAAATCCAAATTCAGATGGGACCCCTTTGGTTCACCCATCATATCAGCAAAGAGTTGGAGAATACTCAGTGACAAAAGGGAAAAATGAATGCTGTCATATTCTGTTGACTGTAATGTAAGGTGGCACAACTTTTTTGAGAACAATTAGAATTTCATACCTACATAGTCTTCACACCAACAATTCCATTTCTAGATGTCTATTCTACAGAAATACTTGCCCATGTTTATAAAGAAGCATGTACAAGGATTTCATAGCAGCAATGCACGTAACAAGAAAACTGGACATAAAACATAAACATCCAGCAATAGGGGAATTATTAAATAAACCACAATACATCCATACTATGGGATATTAAGCAGGAATTTAAATGAATTGGGTAACCCTCTCAATACTAGGAAGAAAGACATCTAGGATGTATTATGAAGTGAAAGAATCCAGTTGCAAGATGTTACCATTTATGTTAAAAAAAAAAAAAAAGATAAAAAGACCACACAACAAATCTGTTTTGCTATATGTAAATATGGATGTAGGCAAATACTTGGATAAAGGTCTAGAAGGATATATGCCAAGCTCAGAGTAGTGGTTACCTCAGAGATCAGGGTACAAGGAGGGTTTTCATTATACTTGTTGTTTTGTTTTCATACATTACGAATATAATTGTATATTACTTGTATAATACAAAATAAATTTAAATTGCCTCTTATTTTAAAGAGAGCCCACCAAATTTAATTTTAAAATAATCATAGAATTACCATCAACAGAGGTCGATTTGAGATAGGGAGAGGGAAATACCTTTCCTCAGAGGTATTGACCTCAAAATTCTGGATCAAGAAGGATCTTACAATGCAGTTAATTTTTTGTACTCATATTTGGAGAGAATATACTCACAGTTTCTCAGTCCAAGGGTATGATTTCCAGACATCCTTATCAATGTAAGAAATAGCATTTCCTTGGAAATTTCTGTGAAGAAACATAGTTCATATCCTTGAATAGGTAGGAAAAGAATGAATAGAATAAAAGAATCATGGCAACCTTGTAGGTGATATTCAAATACAGAAAATAATCCAAGCTTTTTAATTTCCAGATCTATCAGCTTGCCAGTTTGCATAATTAATCTAGAATGAGGTGGGACCACTGGCACGGATGATGACACATCTGCTCAGCAGCTTAACTATTTTTCGCAAAATCACTTGTGTCTAAACTAACTACTTCTACAAACCAATAAGAAAATGATAAACAATTCAACAGAAAAAAATGAGCAAATGTTTAGCATTATCAGCAAATAAGAATAAAGAAAAGAAACCTATGTCAGGTAACAGCAAAGCTTTGACTAAATGCCCTCTGTTGAAACCTCTCCAGGTATTGGAAGGATAAGGGCAATTAGAAATTAGAGGGACTAATGTGCTGATGTGGAAAGATCTCTTAGACATATTGCATAGGGAAAAAGCACAAATCACAGAGCAAAGAGTAAAGTAGTACCTCATTAGGAAATAAAAAATGCAGGCTGGGCACGGTGGCTAACGCCTGTAATCCTAGCACTCTGGAAGGCCAGGGCAGGAGGATCTTTTGAGCTCAGGAGTCTGAGACCAGCCTGAGCAAGAGCAAGACCCGTCTCTACTAAAAATAGAAAGAAATTAGCTGGACAACTAAAAATATATAGAAAAAAATTAGCCGGGCATGGTGGTGCATGCCTGTAGTCCTAGCTACTTGGGAGGCTGAGGCAGGAGGATCGCTTGAGCCCAGGAGTTTGAGGTTGCTGTGAGCTAGGCTGATGCCACAGCACTCTAGCCTGGGCAACAGAGTGAGACTCTGTCTCCAAAAAAAAAAAAAAAGAAGAAAAGAAAGAAAAAGACGCAATCGCAAGAGATTGGAAGGAAGGGCACACACCAAAATGGTTAACAGAGTTATCTTATGGGTGGTAGGATGCAGGAGACAGGGGTGCTGGGAGGATGGGAGTGCGGATTTTCACATTGTATCCTACATATATATATACACGGCTTCTTCTTCTTCTTTTTTTTAAGTGGGAATATATCCATGAATGACACATGTTTAAAAGAAAGGCAGGGCACGGTGGCTCGGGCCTATAATCCTAGCACTCTGGGAGGCCAAAGTGGGAGGATTGCTTGAGCTCAGGAGCTCAAGACCAGCTTGAGCAAGAGTGAGATCCCCTCTGTATGAAAAATAGAAAAATTAGCCAGGCGTGGTGGTGCACACCTGTAGTCCTAGCTACTCGGGAGGCTGAGTCAGGAGGATCACTTGAGCCCAGGACTTTGAGGTTGCAGTGAGCTATGAAGATGCCACGGCAACTCTACCCAGGGTGACAGACTATGTTTCTGTCTCAAAATAAATAAACAAATAATTGTTTTAAATTTATAGATAAAATTAAAAATGTTTTAAATAAAAGCAAGCATTATTTCCTCATGATTAGCTTCTTATTAAACACTCTCATCAAAAATGGTAGATATGTGATATTGTCTATTACATGACAGCAAAAGTCATACAATTTCAGGTTTTTCCACTATTGGTGATATGTTCACTTGCTTAAGGTGCTCACCAACACATCACTCCATCGTAAAGGACAGTTTGTCTTTCGTAATCAGCAGGTTGGTATCTTGGCACTGTTTGAATATCTTATCCTTTCATTTAATTTTTATTTTTGTGTACATGTTTATAATATATAATTCTTATTTTTACATATGTAAAATATTATATATAATATATTATATAATATATATATGTGTGTATGTATATATATATATATATATATAGTGTATGTGTGTGTGTGTGACAGAGTCTCCCTCTGTTGCCCGAGCTAGAGTGTTGTGGCATCAGCCTAGCTCACAGCAACCTCAAACTCCTGGGCTCAAGCAATCCTCCTGCCTCAGCCTCCAGAGTAGCTAGGACTACAGGCATTATGCCACCAGCCTGGCTAATTTTTCTATAAATTTTTAGTTGTCCAGCTAATTTCTTTCTTTTTTTGGTAGAGATGGGGTCTCGCTGTTGCTAAGGCTGGTTTCGAACTCCTTAGCTCAAACGATCCTCCCACCTGGGCCTCCAGGAGTGCTAGAATTACAAAATATTATATGTTTTAACTGCTTCCTTAATTTCTATATTCTCCCAGGTTTTGAAACTAATTCATATATGTTGGTGTGTGTAAGTTTTATTCATTCATTCACTATTTGGCCATTGTTTCCCCAGTTTGAGCATATGTTGAATGACTTAATTTTCTCTTGATGTAGCAAATTAAAGTATTTGAGTTCTTAACAAAAAAATAAATAAAAAGAAAAGAAACAAAAGAAAGCTGTTAGGTACCTTATGTTCAGTTTCAAATCTGTGGATGACTTTGAGTCTTTACCTTTAACTCTGTCCTCCTTCCTCAGCAACAATTTTACTTATTCAGTTTCTAGTTTCAGTTCAGTTCAGTTTCCTCATTCAGTTTGCCAATGGGGTGCAGAAATCAGTCAAAACACACATTTGTCTCCTCATCTGCCTACTGCACATTTCCATTCAACCAGAAGGTTCTGGTTGCTTAATGTTCACCATTAAAAAATTGTAAAATGTCCAAACTAAACTCCCTCCCCCTCAAACTGACTCTCTTCCCTGACTGCTGCACGTCCACTTGTCACACCACCATCATTCTCTTCATCATCCAGGACAGAAACCTTGGAGTCACATTTGATTTCTCCCTTCCCTGTACACACCATCATCCAGCTCCCAGTCAGTCACTGAATCCTGTCTGTTCTGTTTATCATGTTGCCAGGACTTTCTTCCCACTCCTGTCACAGCCACTCAGATTTAGCCCCTTCTCACTTTACTCCTAGATTTTGCTAGAGCTTTCTATTTGGTCCCCCCGAGGTAAGCTTTCCTCTCTAGAGCGCTCTACATGTGGATTCTAAAATAATCCTCCTGTCTTAATCATTTCTCTCTCTTGCTTGAGAACCTTCAATGGCTCTCCATACCTCATCACATAACTTTCAAACTACCATATCTGATATTCGAGGTTTTTCATAATCACGTCTTTCATTGCTTCCTAACCCAATTATTTGCAGCCAGATTGGTCTAGTAAATCCCCATCATTTCTGCAGCCATGCCTTTGCCTAGGCTTTACTCACTATTTTTCTTTCTATTTAACAAATTCCAGCCACTCTTTAAGCCTCAGGTAAAGTTTCAGCTTATGGAGGGAACTTTACCCTGACCTCCACACCTCAGTGGTTATAGATTTTGGTGAATTATGGCACTTCTGGTCAGCATCTCTTGTAGAAATTATAAATCACCTCCCTTTTTATGCCTAGTCCCTTTCTTCCCACCTATCATTTTCATGTTCTAGAGACAATGTCATACTTTGCCCTCGGTTGGGCACAAAAGGGCTGCTACATATAGAAAGCCAGGTACAAAGATGAGTTCTGGACATAACTAAGGAACTGAATAATAATAATACCAGCTAACATTCGTATGTGTGCCAGGCACGGATATACCCTTTACATGTACTCACACACCTAAATCTCACAACAATCCTATGAAATGGTAACTATCATAATTCCCATTTTAAAGATGAGGAAATTGAGTCATAGAGCAGAATAACTTGCCCAAGGTCACAAAGCTAACAAATGACAGGCGGGGATTCAAACCCAGGCAGTCTGGCTCCAGAACTAATGACTTTGTTGTGTCATCATTAATGAGACGAGGAGAGGGACATGCCGCTGTGAAGAGAGTGGAGCAAACGCAGGGGGCAGAGGTTAGGGAGGATATGATGGGGCTAAATAAAATTGGTTAAGGAAAATGTAAGAGTAACACAAGTAAAGTTTAGAGAAGGGGCACAATAGTAAGAAGGAGAATGAGGATTAGGAAAAATTGACAAGTAAAAGGAGAAAGTCAGTCAATGAAGAAGGCCCAGGAAGGTCTCAAGGAAAATGCTGCCACATGAGGCGGGGTGCCGAGAACAAAGGAGAGGTGATGCTTACAAGACGGTGAAGGTGCCATTATAGACATCAGGCTCCTGCACAGGCACTTGGCGGAGCCTCTGCTTTGGGCTGAGACCAACACATGACATTGTCTCATCTTTGCAGGTACAGAGCTCACATATGTTGGTGGCATATGTGGTGGCACTCTGTTCTGAGATGGTATTTACAGTAAAATCCATCTCAGAAGGTTGAACTCTAACTTCAGGCAGGTTTGGAGGCAGAGTCCGAACCTGGTCTGGAAGTGGAGCTACAGCCTTCTCCAGGGCGACAGGATGTTCAGACTGCACGGTGGGTACTGAAATCATGGAAAACTCCAGGTCCGAATGTTGAACTGTGACACTGGGTGACATTGGCTGGAGAGCTTGAGCTTGACTTGGTGTTGGAACTGATATCTCATAATACACAGGAGTTATAACGTCCTTAGGCAGCTCTGGAGGCTGAGTTGGGGTCTCCTGCATGGTTGGAGGTCTAAACTCTTCAGTGGGTTCTGAAGTTACAGTAAATTCCTGGTTCAAGGGTTTAACTGTGATTTCATTCAAGTTTGGCTGTTGGGTCTGAATCTGGTATGGATGTGGAAGTGTCACCTCAGGATGCTTTGAAGAAGGAGCTGCAGAATGTTCAACCTCTGCAGTAAACACTGGAGTTATGGTAAGCCCCAGGTCCAAAGGTTGAACTGTGACAATAGGTGACATTGGATGCTGAGCTTGATTCTGACCTGGTGTTGGAACTGTCATCTCATAATTCACAGGAGGTTGAGCTACAGCCTCCTTAGGTGACTCTGGAGGCTGAGTTGGGGTCTCTTGAATAGTTGGAGAAGATTCAACCTCCATATTCAATCCTGGAGTTAAGGTAAGTTCCAGATCAAAAGGTTGAAGTGTAACTTCTGTCAGGTTTGTATGCTGAGCCTGAACCTGGTCCGGATGTGGAAATATCACCTTACGGTGCTTTGGAGGAGCTGTAGTCTTCATCAGGGCTATAGAATGTTCAGCCTTCATAGTGGGTTCAGGAGTTATGGTAAGTGCTAGGTCCAAAGGCTGAACTGTGACACTGGGTGATGCTGGGTGCTGAGCTTGATCCTGACCTAGTGTCACCTCTTGAAATACTGGATGTTGAACTACAACTTCCTTAGGTGGCTTTGGGGATTGAGTTGGAGTCTCCTGCATGGCTGGAGAAAGTTCAACATCTGTAGTGGGTTCTGGAGTTATGATAAGCTGCATGTCCAAAGGTTGAAGTGTGACAGTGGGCAATGTGGGATACTGGGGTTGATCCTGACCTGGTGTTGGAACTGTCATCTCCTGAGATGTTGGGGGTTGAGCTACAACAACTTCCTTAGGTGGCTCTGGATGTTGAGTTGGGGTCTCCTGCATGGTTGGAGAAAGTTCTACATTTGTAGTGGGTTCTGGAGTTATGGTAAGCTGCATGTCCAAAGGTTGAAGTGTGACAGTGGGCAATGTGGGATACTGGGCTTGATCCTGACCTGGTGTTGGGACAGTCATCTCCTGAGATATTGGGGGTTGAGCTACAACAACTTCCTTAGGTGGCTCTGGAGGTTGAGTTGGGGTCTCCTGCATGGCTGGAGAAAGTTCAACCTCTGTAGTGGGTTCTGGAGTTATGGTAAGCTGCATGTCCAAAGGTTGAAGTGTGACAGTGGGCAATGTGGGATACTGGGCTTGATCCTGACCTGGTGATGGAACTGTCATCTCATAATTCACTGAAGGTTGAGCTACAACCTCCTTAGGGGGCTCTAAAGGCTGAGCTGGAAACTCCTGCTGAGGTGGAAAAAGTATGACCTCTTCAGCGGACTTTGGAGGACGGCTCAAGGCTTCCTGCTGGGTTCCAGATGGAACAACCTCCTTATGGGACGATGGTTGCTCAGCTTGGGTCTGCTGTTGGACTGGAGAACGTACTACCTCCTTAGGGGGATGTGGAGCCTGAGCTGTGTCCTCTTGCTGGGCTAGAGCAGATTCAAGCATTTCAGGGGGATCATGAAAGGGGAAAAAGGGATCAGACTGGGTTGCAGAAAATTCATCCTGTTCAGTGGAAACTGTAGACTGAGTAGTGCCCTCCCACTGGACTGGGTAAGGCTCAGCATTTGTAGTGGGCTCTGCTGTAGTTATGGTAATCTCCAAATCCACATGTTTAACTGTGGGTTTAGGCAATGTTGAATGACCTCTGAAAATCATAGACAGATCTAGAGGTGAAAGTGTCATTGAATCACTAATTGGAGCAAAAATTGGATAGGATGCTGAAGGCTGAGTTGTGTGCTGCTGCTGGCCTGGTGAAGGTCCAACACCCACAGTGGGCTCTTGAGGTAATGGTGAGATTTCCTCCTTGCTTGGAGATGGTTCCTCAGGAAGCTCTTGAGGCTGACTTGGGACCCCTTGATAAACTGGAGAATGTTCATCCTTTTCAGGAAAGTTTGGCTGGTGAATTATAACCTCTGCTTGGCCTTTCAAAGGTTTAAGCTGCTGAGGGGACACTGAAGACTGAGCTGGGGCCTCCTGTTGGGTTGGAATTCCAACTTCATTAGTGAACTCAGGAGTTGTGGTAACTGCATGATCCACAGGTTTTATGGTGACATTTTGTAACATTGGAGGCTGAACTTGAGAAACTGTTACCTCATGATGTTCTGGAGGTTGAGCTACAACTTCATTAGGGAGCTCCGAAGGCTGAGTTGGGGCCTCCTGCTGGGTTGAAGAAGGTTCCACATCATTGACTTGCCCCGAGAGCAGAGGTATAGTCTCTTGGTGGACTGGAGAAGTTCCCACCTGTGTAGTAGGCTCTCCTGCTGTGGTGAACTGCTGACCTGGAGATGTAACCACATTGGGCAAGTCTGAATGCTGAGTTTGATAGTTATCTGGAGGTGAAACTATTACTTCATGATGCCCTGGAGACTGAGCTGGTTGCTCCTGCTGGATTGGAGGAGGTTCCACCTCCTCATGATGTTCTGAAGGCTGAACTAGAGACTGCAGCTGGGTTGTAGAAGATTCAGTCTCCTTGGTAGGCTCTGAAGTTATGGTAGCCTCCACATCCGGAGGTTTAACTGTAACATGGGGCAAGTTATAATGATGAGGTTGAAGTGTCACCTCATGATTTGGTGGAATTTGAGCTAGACTCTCCACAGGGGACTCTGGAGCTTGATCCATGGCCTCCTGCTGGGTCTGAGAAAGTTCACTTTCCTCAGGAGACTCAGAAGGCTGAGCTGGCTGCTCCTGCTCACTGAGGGAAGGTTCAGCCTCCACAGGAAAGCCTGGAAACTCAGCTGAGATCTCCTCCTGTGGGGCAGAAGTTTCTACCTCCTCAAAATGCTCTAGAGGCTCATCTGGGGCCTCCTGCTGGGTTGGAGAAGATTCAGTCTCCTTGGTAGGCTCTGAAGTTATGGTAAGCTCCACATCTGTAGGTTTAATTGTAACATTGGGCAAGTTATAATGATGAGGTTGAACTGCCACCAACTGATTTAGTGGAGTTTGAGCTAGACTCTCCACCAGGGACTCTGGAGCTTGAGCTATGGCCACCTGCTGGGTCTGAGAAGATTCATTTCCCTCAGGAGACTCAGAAGGCTGAGCTGGCTGCTCCTGCTTACTGGGGGAAGGTTCAGCCTCCACAGGAGAGCCTGGAGACTTAGCTGGGGTCTCCGCCTGTAGGGGAGAAGGTTCCACTTCCTGAGGGAGCTCTGGTCTTTGAACTGAGCTTTCTTGTTGGGTTGAGGAAGGTTTACCCTTCTCAGGAGCTACAGCCTCTTGTTGGGTTGAGGAAGCTTCTACCTTGTCATGCTGCTCTGGAGGCTGAGCTGGGGCCTGCTGGTGACTTGGAGTAGGTTCAGTGTTGTTATGTGGCTCTGGAGTTACTGTAATCTGAAGATCCACATGTTTAACTGTGACTCTGGACAAGACTGGGTGCTGAGCTGCAGCCTGACTTGGAGATGGAACATTTACTTCATGATGTATTGACGGCTGAGCTGCAAGCTCTTCAGTATCAGGTAGCTGCTGAGCTGGGGCCTCCTGCTGGGTTGAAGAAGGTTCTGCCTCCTCAGCGGATTGTTCTGGGGCTTCTTGGAGTGAAGAAGATTGGATCTTCTCAGGGGTCACTGGATTTTGAGTTTCATCCTCTAGACGGAATTGAGAAAGTTCAGGGGGCCCTGCAGGCTCATCTAAGTTCTCCGGGAATTCCAGAGGTAGGCCACGAGGATAAACTTTATTCACACTTGGATCTAGATAATCATCATCCTGTAGAGTTTGTTTTTGATGTTGAGGTTTTGATGCAAATTGATTTGAAGTTCCAACAGCCACCCTAGCAAGCCGTCGATGCTGAGCTAGATATTTCTTCAGGATCTTTGGTGAAATAATAAACCTTGTTGGTTTTGAACTCCGACTATCTAGAGGTGGAACAAGTATTTCTGATGCCTGGTGATCTGCAGCCTGATCTAGACCTACAGCTTGAATCTTACTTCTGAGTTGAGGAGGCAGAGGTAGGACTTGAGTCTGATCCCAACCTGGCACTGGAACTTCCTCCGGGAGCCTTTGTCGTTGAGTCAGCTTGTCATTCAGATCCCGATGTGGAACAGCAAACTGATCTCGCCCTGGAAGCAGCTCTTGAGCTGACTGCGTGTCCAGGAATGGAGCCGAAGTCTCAGTCAACTCCTGAGGCGGGGCCAACATCTGGGAAGAAGCAGAGGACCCCAGGTAAGCAAAGCCCTCGGGGTCTGCGGAGGGTGTAAGCGCAGGGGGCGACTCGGGTGGGAGATCAGAGGAGCGGGAAGACCGGCGGTCGGTCGGTCCTCGGGGTTCGAAGGTGAGCGGGACGAGGTTCCAGGCCCACTCCGGAAGCGGAGCTGCCTGGACCAGCAGCCACAACGACTGCCACGTGAGAAGGACCCGTGGGGTCCAGAGGCGCAGCAGGGACATGACGTGCGGAGGCTCCAGCGCGAGCCGGAGCCCAAACACTTGTGGCAGCCCTGCCGCGCGAGCACCCGTAGCAACCGCGCCCGCCCCGCCCTTCATCTATGACACCTTCATTTACGCAGCAGCCTTTATTTAGCTCTGGTCGTCACTGAGTGGTGCCTGCAGGGCTGTAAAGAATGACGTCCATTCTCCCAGCCAGACATACGAGGCTTTCCTGGCCTGCCGCTTCTCCCTGAAAGGAAATCTGCCACCTCCCTTAACCCACCACGCCTGCCCGGGGCTGGCCAGCAACGCAGAATGTCCACTCTCAGAGGCCACGGGAGGCTGGACCTCACTGGGCCCCAGTCCTACCTGGCAGGACCTCTCAAGTTAATCACAGTGGGTCCCCTCCTGTCCTGGCCTGAGGGGGCAGTCTTCCATCTCTGCTTCTCTAGTCCTAAACAGACAAAGGACCCTTCCCTATGGCACTGCTGGGCTGAAGTCTTGCAAAAGGACTGCTCTAGAGCTCTGGAGACAAAAGGATCACAGGACCAATGTGCTGGCCTGTCCAGGGGGACCTCCGTGACCCTTCTGCATCTGGCTCTTTCTGGCCCCGCCACAGAGCCTGTCTCATCCCGGGACCCAGGACTGTCCTTGGCTCTGAGGAATGAAGACCAGCGAGACTGCGCAAGTGTTCCTGCACCAGGTTCTGGGCGGAGCTTGTTGCACGTCTCATTTTATAATTGTAAGAAGTTTCTGCGGTAGGGGTGAATGTCCTAACTTTACGGGTGAGCACGTTGAGGTGAGCAGCTTGCCCAAGATCGTGCAATAGGAAACAGCAGAGCTGGGGTTCTCACTCGGGCTGTCTTCCATTTCATGTATTGGCTTGAACACTGGTTATGTGCCAGGCACTGTGCTGGGTGCTGGGCATAGGCTGGTGAGCAACAACAGAGTCCCTGCCCTCCTGGGCTTATAGGATTGTGGGAGGAGGGACACACAGCATTAATCATGATGTTTAAATGTAAAACGACAAACTGAAATAACAGCAGTGTTTGGGTCTCTGATGGTGTGTAACAGAGAAAACTGACCTAGCTGGGCACTCAGAAGAGCAGCCTAAGGAATGGTCACCTGGACACAATGCTAAAAGATGACCAAGCAAAGGGAAAGAGAACTGCAAAGTGGGCACGGCACGTGCAAAGGTCCTGGGGTGGGGTGGGGGGGAGCACAAAACATTTGAGAAACCCACAGGAGGCAGTGTAGCTGCAATGCAGAAACTAAGAAAGCAGGTAAGGCATGAGGCCCAGCAGGTGTTCACTGAATGTTCACTCTGAACAGACTTTTTCTCACAACCTTGCAAGTATCATCTCGTCATCTCCCCAGACCCCTTGAGGCTGGTGCTGCTGGTGCATCCCTATTCTCCAGATGAAGAAACCAAGACACAAAGGATGAGTCAATTACCCAGAACCCTCTAGCATGGCAGAGCTCAGATTGAATCCAGGTGGCCCGACTCTAGAGCCCATGCGCCCAGCCACTAAGCCACACTGCTTCACAAGAAGAGGCAGGGGGTGGGCAGGCCATGCTAAAGCTTGCCGTCTTTTCCTTGGGCAGGTGGGATGGCTTCTAAGCAGGGCGGTGATATAATCAGGTGTGTGTGTTTAAATGAGGCTGGGTGGAGTGGGGGTCACCAGGATGTGGGAGGGGCCGGGCTGGGAGCGGCTGCTGTGTCCAGGTGGGAGATATTAGTCCCTGAAGCCAGGGAGGGGCCCTGGCTGGAGAGGAGGAGTGCGGCTAGAGGAGCAACACAGGACTTGGATGCAGATCAGGTAGGGAGGCGGACAGAGAGGTGGAGATGGAGGGAGCAGGCCACATTCCCAGGTTCCTGGCTGCCCAGCTCAAGGGATGGCGGAGCCTGTTCCTGGGACAGGTGAAATCCTGGAGGAGGACAGGCGTGGGGAGGAGCATGAATCCAGTCTCGGACTGAGGACTGTCCCAGAGCAGACGTCATCAGGTTGTCAAGGGGACGCTGAAGTTGAGAGTTTCGGGGGCAGTCATGCCTGCTCACTAGTCGCTATGTGGTGGGAGTGGATGGCGACATCCAGGGAGGGAGGCCAAGGACAGGAGGGCTGGCCCCACGGGCTCTGCCCTTATTGGCCACACAGCAGAGAATGGGTGGCTTGGCCAGAGGTAGGAGGAAGACGAGGCTGTGGCATCGTGCAAGCCCAGAGGAAGGGCTTGTTTCCAAGGCCGGAGCAGCCAGCAGAGGACAGGGTGTCCCCAAGAGGACGATGACTGTGAAGACCCGAAAGTACCCAACAGATGTGACGTAGAATCTCAGTGGTCTGTTGGTGCATGGGGGTTGGGGAGTGAACAGGAGCAGCATGGGGACAGTGAGTGTGGAAGACTCTTTCGAGAAGTTTGGTGGGGAGGGGGAGGAGGAGAAGGAGGAAAGCCGGCAGTTGCAGGGATGTGGGGTTGAGGGAAGATTTTTCAGAGAGAGACTTGAACACGATCCCATGGTTAGGGGAAGGGGCCTGTTGGAAGTCAGAGTGGATGCCATGGGCACCACCTGGAATCCCTCCTCCAGGACCGAGCGTGAACTGCCCCAGCTCAGGGGTTGGAGGCCACGGCTCTCCTCCAAGCCTCTCTCCAGGATGCGCCCTGGGCTGTGAGAGCCGTGTGGCCGAAATCCGTGCCCTCCCTGCCCCAGCCCTGGAAGGCAGTGGCCTGGCTCCTGGCCACAGTGTGGCATGACGCTGAGGCTGTCCCAGCTCCAGAGCTTCCCGTGGGTGGCTGAGGCCTTACATGGGCCTGCGTGACAGCTCCACTGTCCCTCGGCCCTGTCCTGCCTCCCCAGCACAGGTGTGGGGCCTGAGCGCATGCCCAGTGAGCTTCCTGCTCGCGGACCTCCTTCTCCCGGGCCTCAACCCCAGACAGCAGTTCAGTGAGCAAGAGAGAGGAGCGTCAGTGATCATGGATGTTTCCCGAAAGACAGATCAGCTGTGCCATCCAGAAATGTCTGCTCTGAGCTTCCAGGGGAGAGGAGGCCAGGGAGGACGGGGTGAGAGAGGTCTGAGCTGGATGATGGGACACGTGTTTCCATTTTCCTGGGAGATGGGGGCAGACCCTCTGCTGAGAGAGTGGGGAGGTCGGGAGGGCCCAGGGTTTGAGGAGAATGGAGACCCGAGACAGCTGGTGCAGAAAGTGAGCGAGAACGGAAACCCTCACGCAATACTGGCAGGTGTAAATCATACCACTGAAAACAATCTGATGGTTCCTCAACAGGTTAAACTCAGAGTTACCTTATAACCCAGCAATTCCACTCCTAGATATGCGCCTGAATAAACTTAAACATGAGTCATGGGCTGAATATTTGTGTGTCTCCCCCCCCCCCAGTTTACATGTTGGAGCCCTAACTCCCAACGTGATGGCATTTGGAAGTGAGAGCTCTGGAAGGTAGTTAGGTTTAGATGAGGCCATAAAAATGAGACTAGTGAGTGTCCTTGTAGGAAAAGGAAGAGACCGGAGCTCAAGCTGTCTCTGCCACGTGAGGACACAGCCGGAAGGCAGCCGGCCATCTGCAAACCAGGAAGAGGGTCCTCATCAGAACCCAACCATACTGGCACCTTGATCTCGAACTTCCAGCCTCCAAAACTGTGAGAAACAAATCTCTGTTGTTTAATCCACTCAGTCTATGGTATTTTGCTATGGCAGGCTGAGCTAAGACAATATGTCCGCGTAAAAACTTGTACACAAATGTTCATAGCAACATTATTCATAATAGCCAAATAATGGAAACAACTCAAATGTCCATCATTTGATGAATGGATAAACAAAACATTGTATATCCATAGGATGGGATGCGATTTGGCAACAAATGAGGTGCAGTACTGGCTGCGAAGTGGGTGAGCCTTGCAAACGTCCTGCCAGCCCATAGCCTAGCGGGGAGAGGTGGACACAGAAGCACAGTTATGTCCAGCGAACTAAGTGTGATGACACAGTGGCACACATGGGAGAGCTGAGGCTTCAAGGTGGAGGAGGAATGAGACAGGTGAAAGTGGAGAGAGGCAGGTCGACTCAGAGGCATTGAGGCAGGAAGCAGACTGCAGTGTGCTGGGAGTGACAGGCACGGCACAGCTGGCGTACAGAGGTTGGGGACATGGTGCGGTCAGACAGTTGCTGGGTAGAGGATGGAATGGGGTGAGGAGCCCTTTCAGAGCCTGCTATGCTCACCCAGATGAGAGAGGCCACGGGAGGGTGGAAGAGGCAGATCTGGAACATATTTAGAAGGTAGAAGACAGGGACTTGGGGACTGGAAGTGCCACGCTCAGAAATAGGGAAAAGAGCTGGTTTGGGAGTTTCGTCGCAGGCAGGTTGCACTGGGGGTTTCTGGCAGCTGTCCACATGGAGGTGTCCTGCAGGCAGGTGGACTTTGCATATGGAACTCAGGAAAGAGAGGTCTAGGTTGGTGATAGAGATTAGGGTGACACATGTGCAGGCTTGCTGGCTGAGTCTCCACAGGGAGGGCACAACCTGTAGGGCATCACCATTTACAGGGTGGGCAGAAGAGGGGGAGCTGAGGAAGGGAGGGATTGCTTGGGGCAGAGGAGCAGTGTGTCTCCAGGAGGACAGCAAGCAGTACGTGCGTCCACCAGACTTAGCAATCAGTGGGCACCATGGCCTTTTCAAGAGTGGCTGCAGGGACAGACTCCAGGCTGCAGGAGGACCTAGGGGCTCCTACTAGGAGGCTGTAGGCTTGGGGACAGGCCCCTGTGCCAGCTTATCACCTGTGCCACTGTCACTCGTTTTTTATGTCCCTTCCCCAACCAGATAGAGCCTCAAGAGGGCTGATACTGTTTCTATATGTCTTTGTGTCTCCAAAGTCCAATTCATTCAAAATACCTTGGAAATGCACCTACAGTGCCCACCATGCGCTGTGCTAAGTGTTGAGGACGTCTGCTGCGCCTCAGACTTTGGTGGGGCACACAGTAGGTCCTCAGACTGTGCAAACAAAGCTCCTGTACCAATTCTTCCCTGAAGCTAGCCATAAAAACCAGAATCCCTCTACCCAAGGTAGGTTGTAAATGTCAGAACCCCTTTTTACTGAAAGCTAGCCATAAAACCTAAAATTATTCTATGTAAAAATGGCCATAAAGTAATGCGACCTACTTTGTTTTTACTTTGTTTTATTGTAAAGCCCCATACCAGAAAGG